TCAGCCCAAAGCAATGCTGTAGGGAGGGGGATGGGCAGGTATGGCCCAGGAGATCCCAGTGCTGCCTTCCCCAGCCCCAGTCACATCAGCAGAGGGATCCAACATTGGCGCAGTGTCACCGCGGCCCCATGCATGAGGGGATGGGGGTCTCCAGTCCATACCACACCCCCTGAAACCATCACACATGGGGCTGTTTCCAGGCATTGCCCTCATCCTGCAGCCTCCAAGGAGAGGAGAAAAGCGGAGACTTTGTCCAACACAACCAAACAACATAGCAGTGATGGCAAAGAGCAGCAGAGTGAGACCTCGGTCCGCTCCTGGTCCCCAGTGAACCCCCAGTGAACCCCACAGCCCATCATCCCAATCCTCACATTCACCCAACCTCAGCCCTCCTGCCTCTGATCCTCAGCAAACGGCTGCATTGCCATCCACCAACTAAAGATCCCCAAATGGAGAAGGGAGAAATGAAGGGCTCCCCTTGGTCCCAATGAGGAGGGATGGAGTGAGCTGCCAGCTGGTCCCCATCACCCCAAACAAATGGCAAAATGCAACATTCAGCTGAACAAATGCTGCTGGCTGCATCACCCACAGTGTGCACAGGGCTGGGCTGCTCTCACATCGCACACCTCAGGGTGCTTTCAATGAGAGCTCAGCAGTCTCCTCAGAAACAGGCACTTTGTATCTGCTGCTCTGGAGAGATGCAGCCACCACTGTGAGAGCAACGCGGAGCATCTGCACCCCTGGAGCATCTCTGTGCTCAGAGCACTCCTGGAGCATCACCAAAGCTGGAGCATCACCAAAGCATCTCCAAACCCGGAGCATTCCTGGAGCATCCCTGGAGCATCTCCAAACCCATGTGGAGCATCCCTGATCCTGGAGCATCACCAAAGCATCTCCAACCCTGGAGCATCCCAAACCCACCAAAGCATCCCCAACCTTGGAGCATCCCCAGCAGTTGGGCTTCAGGAAGGGAAGTACCAGAAAAGAGAAACCCCATAGGAGCGAAGGAAGCTCAGTGCTATTAAATCCAGCAGGTTGCACGCTGGCAGGCAGCCAGAAATGGGGACTTTTTCCTCTAAAAGGGGAAGGGGAAGGGAAGGGGGAGGGAAGGGGAAAGAGAAGGGGCTCCCCACGCTGATGCTCCGCTGAGCCGAGAACTGTGAGAGCCGCGTCCGGGAGCCGCCGCACGAAGCACCGCCCCAGGATCCGCTCCATCCCGCGGCGGACCCGACGCCCAAATCATCCCCCGCGAAAAGCCCTCCGGGGGCGGCCAACACCCCAACCCCGCCGGCTTCTCCCGAAGGCGTTTCCCTGTGACCTTCAAACGCCATTCCCCGCAGCCTCGACCCCCCCACCCCCCCCAACCCCTCCGACCGCCGCTCGGTGCTGACCCCGCTCACCCCCCCCACCCCCAGCACCGCACCCCGCCGTGGCCCCGCACTCACCAGCGCTGCGCGGGCGCTGAGCAGCAGCAGCAGCACGGCGAGGCCCCGCAGCTCCGCGGGCATCTTCGTGCCGCAAGGACGGCTCAGCAGCTCGCGGGGGCGGGGAACGGCCTTTGTTGCCGCCGCCCTCCCCGTCCCCTCCCCGCACCGCCGCCCCGCTGGAAGCGCCCGGCCCCGCTTCCCCGCTCCGCCCGTGTGCGGAAACCGCCCCGCCCCGCTACGGCCCCGCACACCGCTATGGTGTGATCGGAGCTGGGGGAGAACGGGGGGCTGGGCGGATGGAGGGGTGTGGGGGGGAATAAGGAGGGTCGGACTTGGGGTTACTCCGGGGTTGGGAGGGAGACTGGGGGGCAATAGGGAGGATGCGGGGCTATGGGGGAAGGAAGCCGGGGGTAGGGAGGGGAGGAGTGGGGAAGATCGAGGAAACTCCGGGGTGGGTAATAGGGGCGAATGGGAGGACCCAGGGGTAGACGGGAGCGAATAGACAGAGGGACGTCAGGGCAGTTAGGAGGGCATCCAGGAGTAGATACAGAGCTTGGAGGCTGATAGGAAAGGATGCAGGGGTAAATAGAGTGGTATCAAGGGATGGTTGAAGGCGCTGGGGCAATTAGAGGAGTAGTCAACAGTAGTTAGGGGGCATGGGAGTAGATAGAGAGGATATAGGGGTAGTTAAGGGAGTACCCAGGGGTGGTTAGAGGGATGTGGGGGAAATAGGGGGGATCCAGGAGTAGACGTGGGGGCATGGGGACGATCAGGTGTACCCAGGAATAGAGAGGGTTTTTTATCCAAGGGTAGAAAAGAGGGTATGGGAATAGATGGGGATACCCAGAGGTAGTTAGAGGGGTATGGGAGAAGATAGGGGGTAGTCAGGGGTAGTTAGGGAGCATGGGGGCAAATGGGGAGGATACAAAGGTAGATAGGGGTTACCCCACCATAGATGAAGGCATGGAGACAGATAGAGAAGGATGAATGGGTAGATAGAGGAGCACCCAGGGGTAAACAGGGGGGCATGGGGACAGATGGGGGAACATAGGGTGGATAGCAGGGCTTGGAGAAGAGCAGGTGTACCCAGGAGTAAGGAGATGGGGGGAACCCAGAGGTACATAGGGGGGGCATGGAGGAGCCTGGGGGGCCAGTAGACAGGGAGGGACCTGGAGCAGATTGCTGGGAGCCAGGGGCAGATGGAGGGATCCAGAAGTAGAGAGAGCAGCATGGGGCAGACGGGGGGCTGGGCTAAGTGGGACAGGCGAAGCAGGGCTGAATGGGGAGTGATAAATGAGGGGATCCAGGGGTAGATGAGGGGGACTCGGGGGTGGATATAGTTATGTGAGGTGATGTGGAGATCAGTGGATAGGGAGACACGGGGCAGGTGGAAGAGAAGTTCAGGGACAGATCCTGTGGCAGATGGAGGAAAATGAGGGGCAGATGGCGAGGGGACCTGGGGCAAATGAAGGAGGGGACACGGGGCAGATGGCAGCGGGACCCACGGGCAGAGCTGGGGGTGGACGGGAGGGACGTGGGGAGAAGGGGAGAACGTGGAGCAGGGAGGCGGCCAAAAAAGGGACATCACCAAGATTTAGAAGGGAAATGAGCCCAACTCGGCTACAATGCACGGCACGTCCCTGAGCGGGGGCATGGGGGGGGGGGGGGGGGGGGGGGGGGGGGGGGGGGGGGGGAGTGAAGCAGATCCCCTCAGCCTGCCCTCAGGGCGCCGCTGCAGCTTCTGTCCGCCTTAATTGTGCAATAATTAACGAGATGCAAATAATAATAAAGGATGCCTCGGTGCCAGCGGGGAGGAGCCCTTTGCTGAGGCTGCACCGCCCCGCAGCGGTTCCCGGCGCTCCCTGCACTGAGCAGCGCGGTGGGACAACGCGGGGGGAGCGGAGGGGTCACCGACCCTGAGGTGTCCCTGAGCCGTGGGGATGCAGTGAGGGACACGAATGGGGCATGGTGGGGTGGGCTGCGGTTGGACTTGCGGATCTTAGAGGTCTTTCCCATCCTTAATGATTCTACGTGGTAAACATGGGACGTGTTTGGGGTGCGGAGAGATTGTGGGTGATGACCTGGGGTGGTGGGACATGGGTGATGTGGGGGGATGTTTTTCACACAGAGGGTGGTGAGGCACTGGAACAGGTTGCCCAAGGAGGCTGTGGATGCCCCATCCCTGCAGGCATTCGAGGCCAGGCTGGATGTGGCTCTGGGCAGCCTGGGCTGCTGGTTGGTGACCTGCACACAGCAGGGGGTTGGAACCAGATGATCTTTGTGGTCCTTTTCAACCCAGGCCATTCTGTGATGATGATGATAATGACATGGGTGATGTGGTGGGACACTGTGGTCGTGACAGGACACGGGTGAGATGCAGCTGACCTCACTGGTCACAACTTGACCCGGTGGGATACAGCTGCTCTGATGGATGTGGCTGAGATGGGGGGAGACGAGCTGATGTGATGGGACACAGCTGATGGGGTGGGATGAGGCTGATGTGGTAGATCACAGCCAGCAGGATGGAGCAAAGCCTGCCCCATGTCAAAGCACCCTTTACCCCACGTCCCCCTCCAGAAGTGACACAGCAGGGCTGCAGCACCCAGCTGTGTCTCAGCACTGCCCATGGCCAGCACCCTGAGCTAAGGTCAGGACAAGGTGTGTGCAGAAGAAATGTGGCCAAGGGGGTGGAGAACAGACCCAGAGCTCTTCGTAAGGGGACAATGGGCCCCAGCAGCTTGAGAAGTGTGCAACCTTCAGGCAGAGAGCAGCTGATGATGAACTCCAGGGAAAAGTGAGAAATGATGCAGGTAAGGAAGAACCACCCTGCAATGGATTGGAGCTGAGCACTGAGTGCCTCCTGGGAACAAGATCTGGGAATCAGGGAAGTTTCCATAGAGATTTGAGCTCAGTGCTCAGCTGCAGCCACAGCAGCTCCGTGGCAGTTCTCAGCCATCACCATGTGCTCACTGCTGTGCTGCATCCACACTCACTGACCTTTCCTCCCCACGAATCAAGCACAGAACTGGACAGGAACCCACACTGTCAAAAGGGTGTGATGGTAGAGAAACATAGTTGCTCAGGTTGGAAAAGACCGTGAAATCCAACCACAACCCAACCATGCTGTCCTAACTCCAACAGCCCTCCACTAAATCACGTCCCTGAGCACCACATCCAAACAGCTTCTAAACACAGTGAGGGACGGTGACTCAACCTCCTCCCTGAGAACAAAATGGAGCAGAGAACAGGAGTGGGAAAAACTACACCCTGCCCCTCTATGCAAGAGCTGCACAGTGACCAAGACAGCTCACACACAGGAGGTGGATCTTCATCCTAAACCTACCCCCCACAGCAGGGATGGATGGATGATGTGCTGGCGTTGAGCTCAGAGGGCTCCCAGGAGGCTTAAATATGCTGAGGGGAAGAAGTCCTAGGAGCACAGCCCAGGATGGGTGGCAATAAACACTCACTCTTCCTCTGCTCCATGTTCTCCACTCAGCCCCTGTGCAAGGCAGGAAGAGGCAGAAGGAGGGCAGGAGAGCCACGGCTGCAAGGAGGGAAGAAAGCACCAGGCCAGATTCCAAAGTTCTGTATTTTTCAAAATAAAGATCACACGTTGTTTAGAGACAATCTACACAAGAGTTACAAAAAATAGTCGCCCAGGCATAAGCATACACAGGTTTGTTAATTATACACATATGGTTACAAGTGTGCTTGCAAAAAAGTTCATTGGAAATATACACAAGGCTCTGTAAATGTACACCGTGTAGTGTTACAATTCTATATTCAAACAAGGAAAATTGACAGTATGTTACATTCACTTACAAGTAGACAAAATGCAAAATACAGTTCATCTTCTGTACAAAAAGGGAAGGTGATTCACACTTTACAAGGTGAAAAGGGGTTCTGATTGTAAGGAAAACTAGGGGGGTTCTGTACTTTTGCACTTTTCGTTTCTTACTGTCACAAAATAAGCAAAACATTACTTTGTAAGATTCAAAAAAACACTATTTTGAACTGAATCGTTTTGTATAACATTTAGAAAGGATCGCTACCGCTCAACTAGGTGACAAATAAAACCAAGCATCTTTTTAAACATTAACTAGGCTGTATAAAGAGAACATTTCCTTCAAAAGAAAAAATTTACTTCTGGTTGAAATTACAATTTACAATATACAACACTATATGCTACGACCATAAAAGGTGTGAATATACACTGAAATGCACAGGTTTTGCTAATTCTTTTTTTTTTCTTACCAAAAAACGGGTTTATGTCGATTCAAACTTCTCCACATTTACATTACAGAGGTTTACAAATGTACAATTGTACAGTCAGAAGTATGTTCCACTACTAGGGTACATTATAGATACAGATCAGACATCAAAACAAGAAAATACTACAAATTTTTATATATGTAAAGTCTACACCAAGTATACACTATATATTTATAGAAGCAAGACCAAAGCCGAGTTGGGTTTGTTTTCCTCATGCTAAATAATCAAATGGTGTCTCTCCATGTTAACAGAACAAACTGAGTAGGCAGTAAATAAGGACACCCACCCGACCCTCGCTTTAAAACCCTCCTGGCCATGTCCATCTTCCTCCCCAAACGAGCACTACGCTACCTCCTTTAGCAAGTTATACTCGAAATAAAACAAAAGTAACCCAAAAATAAAGCAATTAAAAAGTTTCAAAAACTTAATTCTTTTTAAACTGAAGCTTCATAGCGAGTTGATTTTTCTTTTTTTTTTCTTTTTAATATTTATAAACAGCATTAAATGCATCTCTCGCGCCGTTCAACTAAAATCCAAACTTGTTGCTGACTTCTGAGTCAGAGAACAACGGGAATCTGCAAAGAGTTGCCTGCAAGGCAGATGGATTAAAAACGTCGTGTGTTTTTTTTGTACTTCAAACCAACCACCCTGAAAGTTTCCACATTTGGAATATAGATACAACAGTGAACAAAAATGTGGCCTTCCATGTACATTTGATACCTATGTACAAGTATTCTATACACCAGTAAAACAGCAGGGCAATCAGTTAATTAAAAAAAATAATTAGTACATGTTATGCATAATAAAATTAAAGAAATTTACAAAGGCTTTTTTTTTTCTTCTTCTTTTAGTAGTTTAGCAACCGTAACACGCTCTAACTGTATACTGGAATAGGGCTGGTTGCTGGTTGTGGATGCCAGATGGCCAGGGCTGCTCAGTGCCTCAGATGATGCCGTTTGGAGGCCCGCAGATGGGCCCGAGGTCCACGCCATTCTTCATGTAGTATTTCTCCAGCTTGGCCAAGATGTGCTTGCCATAGGTGTACTTGCGCAGGGTGGCGATGTGGGGCCGGATCTGCAGGGTGGAAAGAGAGATGGAGGCTTAGGAAGGGGAACCACAGCGATCCCAAGAGATCGGCCCTGCACACTGCTGTGCCCTGCTGCAGGAAAGGCACGGAGTCACACAACACTTACAGTTGGGAGGGACCTTTACAGGCCATCTAGTCCAACTGCCCCACAGTGAGCAGGGACACCACAGCTCCACCAGGCTGCCCAAGGCCTGATCCAACCTTGCCCTGAAAGTCTCCAGGGATGGAGCATTCACCTGTTGCCTCTGGGCAACCTGTGCTCACCATTCTCACTGTAAAGGGCTTTTTCCTCTTTTAACCTCTTTGAGCTTGAAACCATTTCCCCTTCTTCTATCACCACAGCTCTGCTGTCCCCTTCTTTCCTGTCGCTCCCTTTAGATACTGAAGGTTGCTCTCAGGTCTCCTCAGAGCCTTCTCTTCTCCACCTGCACAGCCCCAGCTCTCTCAGCCTGTCCTCACAGGAGAGGTGTTCCACCTCTTGGATCCTTTTTGTTGCCCTCCTCTGGTCGCACTCCAGCAGCTCCCTGTCTCTCCTGTACTTAAGACTCCACATCTGGATGCAGTGCTCCAGTGAGGCCTCAAAGCACAGTGCAGAGAACAAGATCACTTCCCTGACCTGCTGCCCACACTGCTTTGGATGCAGCCCAGGGTCGGGCTGGTTACCACAGGCATCACAAGGGCTGGTGGGCTGAGCAGCTCCTGCTGGCCAGCAGCAAGGTGAGCCAGGCAGCCACACAGCCCTCCTCTTTCCAGGCTGAACTGCTCAAGTGCTGCAAGCCTGAAAGGGCTCCCAGTATAAACACACAGCTGGAGTTCAAGGGATGCTGGGAAAGGCACGCAGCACTCCTGAGCTGAACAGTAGTTTAGTTTCTTTCTGAACCTAACACTTACAATATATATATATATATATATATTTTTTAAAGCAGAGATCCGTGGAATTACAATTTCATACTATTTCAGAATACAAGTTGCTTCCAACTCCACTGTCATTCCTGTAACTGGAGCCAAGCCACTGTTAGTGGAAGAGTACCCAAACAAGGGAAAGCACTGTTCCAGCTGTGCTAACATCATGCTGCTGAAGCTCTCCTGGACAGTTTCAGAAGAACGAGACATAAGAGCAATTCATTTTCTTATTACACAAGAAATATCCCACACTGCCAGCAAGTTTCTGCAGTAACTCAGCCACAACAGACCTTTTACCCTACAGTGGAAACTGCACAGGAGGAGGAAGCAGCCTGACCATGATGTACAGCACTCCCTTCTCCTCCCCTGCTTCCAGGACAGATACATCACCATGACTGGCATACGCCAGGGCTGACCAAAACTCCCACAGGAAACACAGCCCTTGCTCACCCCACTTCTTCAGCTCACTCACTGGTTGCTTAATTCAACTTCCAGAACCAGACTTGGGAAAAATCTGATTTATGGCCTCTGCCCTCCCCACATTGCAGTCCCTGGAAGGTCTGGCTGCTGCCCAGGGGTCAAGGCATAGGAAAGCTTCCCAGGTCCAACACTTCTTTATCTATCTTCATTTCTAAAACTTTTTAAAACATCATTTCAACCATCAGTTCTGCCAGTTGTCGTGCTGTTGTTAACAAAAACACAATACAAACTGCTTGTTTGCAGTACGAGCAATTTTTACAGCCTAAGATCAGACAACGTGCTCTGCTCTCCCAGGCTCTCATTCAGCTCGATAACGTTGCTGAAATCTTCACATCCAGCCACTCTTATTTAGTTGTCATCCTACTTCTATTTTTGACAGCCCCACTGATAACCTAATTAGCATGTTCTTCACAAGGCTGCTTGACAAGAACAACGTGTCAGTAGGGATTTTTTTAAAATACATATCCATAGCTCATATAAAGATCAGCAAAGATACAGGTCATTTTGCTGCTGGACTGTGTATATCCACTTGCACACTTATTTTAATCATTTCTTCTGGACTAAGTCAAGTTTGGGTTTAAAGCAACTACTCTGAGTGACTCCTAAACCTAAGATTGAGTCTACCTGAAGATCAGCTCATTTGTATGCATGCTGTTCACAGAGCAGGAAGATGAAGACACTGCCTGATGCTCAGAGCCTCCTGCCCATGGGGAGCAGGCATACAAGCCTTGGGTGGCACGACTGGCAGCAATGCTTCTTTAACTCCCAAATGCCTTCATTTCTGACCATTGTGAAGTCCTTGCATCCATGAAAGTCTCTCATCAAAAAACATACTTACACACGTGCCCCATTAGTGTGGTGCAGACAGTCAGCGTGACTCTCCTGATCGGGGCTGGAAAGCAGGGATGTGAAGTGACAGGCAGTGCTTGGCAGCCCAGAAATGCACCCAGCAGTTCTGCCTTAGTGCTCGAGGTCTGGCTCAGCTCTGCTGAGTACGTAAAGCTTCTCTCATTAGCAAGCACTGTTCTCAGAGAGGGCAAGTGTGTCATCACTGCCAGACCTCCTGAAGGCACCTTGCCAAGCACCAAACTGGCAGCACTGCTACAGCAAAAAGTAGTCTTTGCCTTTTTTTTGTTCTTTTTTTTTTTTTTTAAATCAGCATTCACTATGCCATGAGTGCAGAACTGGGTTACTGGGTCAGAAGATACTGCCTGAAGCAACCAGCTGGTTTTAAGTCCAACAGCATCTCAGTGTTTCTTATTTTCATACACCAACTAGTACTTTGCTGCAACTCTGAAATACCCCACTTGCCAGGAAATTCTAAAAGCAAAAGCAGTTATCAAACTTGTTTTCTCTCTGCAATCAGCACTTTTAAGAAGTGCCACTTCTTAAAACACAGGATCCTTATCAATCGACAGCAACTGCTCACCTTGTGCATGACAATCTTCCGCTGAGCTGGTTCTGCCACATCGATCATCTTCTGTACCACGTAGTTGGCATACTGATCCTTCATCATGGTGTATAAGGCACTGTGAGGGCCATCATTCATAGTGCACACCTCATCGATCAACATGGCACGCTCCGTACGGGAGGCGTGGGTCACACACTTCTCCACAACGTTGCTGTAACAATCAAAGAGAGACAACTGGTGAGCACACAACCACCCTCCCGGGCTTTTCATTCCCTGAAAGTGCAGGTCTTTCTGCATCAGACATGTGCTGGTGCAGAAATGCAATAATGTGACACGAGTGGTCCAATGATCCTGGGATCTGAGTGGAAATTTGGGCAGAAGACCATTTCAGGTTTTATTTCATCCGAATTTATTTGTGCATCTCTACAGTGACATTGTATTTGAGATCAATGTCTGTTCTCACAGCATACCCTGGAGAAGCAGATGAGTTGTTCTTTGTTTGGCTTTCTCAGTAGTGGAGCTCAATGGGAATGGAGGTCCAAGGTTATAACAACAGAGAAGTACAATCAGGAATGAAAGATCTTAGCAAAGGCAAAGAACTTCCAAAATTCCTGAATATATTAGATAAGTAGTCTCTGTTCTCTGAAGAGCAAAGTTAAATATGATACATGGTTAGGGAAGGAGAGTTTTGCTAGTCTCATCCTCTGCATCCCTGCCTGAACCACAAAATCACCAGGTGATTTGACATAACTAGAGCTCAGCTCAGGGGACACCACGCACTAATTAACAGGGAGGAAAAGGCTGAAATAACAGCATTCAGACCACGCTCTTCTAATTCCTGTTAACGTTGTACTTATGTTCCTAAGTAGTAGCACACTACCTTACCCATCACAAAGAGGGAGGTATATTAAGCCTGTGAAGAGGTCAGCCTTCGTGTGCAAAGGGCAAGCAGCACCCACAACAGCAGTTCACAAGTGTGGGAAGTGTTACTTCGTTTTAACATCCCCTACAGTACCTGAATTTTGCTTCTATCCATGCTCTAGCTCTGCTGCAGCTGGACTAACAACCTCAGACTGCTTCAGCTTCCCTAAGAGGCATGTACACATTACTGGAGATGCATTATGCATGCATCTCAAAAAGGACCACAAGGCCTTTGCACATGAGAATCAGAGTCTTCTGTTAGAAGTGAGATGCAAAGAACCACTGCTACACTGATTTCCCCAGTTCCCTTGTGGCTTGACACTGAACCCCAGAGATAGCAAAATGCTCTAACATTTTGTTCTCCAAGGGATAGTGACTACTTAACAAAAGCCACAAACAACACAGTAGTCCTGCTCAGGTTCAAGAGCCTGGATTAGAATTACTCCTTCACATCTTTATCCTCTTTTCACAAGTAAAATCTACCTTGCCAGCCACCCATTCCAGTTTTTAAGCAGTTATAAATCGCATTCTGCTACTCAACAGAAAGTTATTTTTCACCTCCTTTCACCTTCCTACACCCCACTCCCAACTCTTTCACAACTCTAGCATGCATTCAAACTCTCACAGGGTGTGGAGACTTTAAGAAACAAATTCATACCTAGCAAATTTATGTTGACTCAAGACAAGCACATTGCCTCTAATTTCTGCTACAATCTTGCTCTTGTCCTCAGGCCGACCATGCTCTAGTACATGCTGGATAACATAGTTCCCATACTGATCCTGTTTGAGAAATAGAAGCATGTGAAAATCTGGACAGGAACCACTCAAATCAAAGAGCATTAATTCTTAAAACTTTGACTCTACACTAAAATTAAAACATCTACCTTTTAAATCATGCAAATACTTCCCACTTGTACAAAAACATGCATTCTGGAGTTTCACAAGAAGGAAAAACACCACATCTTTGTACCAATTGTAAAACTCTAAACAACTTCATTGAACACGAAACATCAATATTTTCTCATTTCCATGTACTGCTTTCTCCAGGTTCCAGAATATCAAAACACATGTACTGGAAATTGATGGCACAGTTCTAGCTACAGAAGACTATTATTATGTATGTTCATATTTCAAACGTGTCCATGTTCAGAGCACAATATAGGTACTTGTTTCATTCAGCAGCACCAGAGGCATGCCTTGATGCCTCACCTCTAGGCCCAACCTCTTCCCATTCCCAATGTGCTAAATATGGGCACAAAGGACAGGACTCATTCCACATTGTACCCACTGGGTCCCAATGCACAAATCCTAAGAAAAAAGAGCTCTTAGAAGGACTGCAAGAAGGAAAGGCAGGCAAGAAGGAGAACATCTTAGGATGTTCTTTTCCTACACAGAACCAGCCCTTTGCATCAAATTCCTTTAAGATCATTAGGATACATTCCCACTCAATACTTAATTTTCCTTTGAAAAGGACTAAAATCCAACACTGATATTTGCTGGATATTTGCACACAACCAAAATGATTAGTGATGATGCTTTCCCTGCCTGCCCCGTTCCTCCTCACCCAATGCTCACACAGCCCCAGCAACACTCAGCTGCAATCCCAAACAGGCTGCTAGCTTTCCTAACACAGAACAGTAACCTAAGAACATCTCCCAGCACACAACCTCCCATTCCCACACTGACCTGCACAAGCTGCTCAGTGTGCTGGTGAAGCTCCTCCAAGATGGGAAGAGTCTGCTCAGGAAGACAGTGCTCGAGGATCCTCTGAATCACACGACAGCCATATGGATGTGTAGACAACGCAAAAACCTGCGTTCAACAAAAACAGACAAGCACAGGCAGCAACACATCTGTTAGTCTTGGTGAATCCCAGAAACCTTTTGGAATTAAATGAACATGAAGGTTCTCCTGGACAGGGAAGGTAATGTCAGCTCCAGAACTCTGCTTGCAGCACTGCAGCTCAAGATAGTGCAAACATCTGCTTCCTCAATGCCACGGGGAGACTGCAGACACACCATGTCCCTACCTGTGCTTCACCTTCTCCATTTATGAACAGGAAGCAAATGGTAAAGTATCTTGGTTAATATAAAGAACACCTGGATGGGCAAGCATTATTGGAAGCTGTGTTGAAAGTTTCAGAAGAATAAATCCAGCACACTGTTTGCCAGTTGCACAATTAAAGCCATGTAAGAAATATGCAAGAAGCAGAAAGGTTAAGAATACTCAAAGGATTTTCCTCATGTATCTGGATTTGTTTAAAAGCCTTAACTGTGCTTAGCAGAAGTGACAACAAGAAACCTTCTTCCTCATTTCTAAAGGATTACAAAATCTGTTGCTAAGAACATGACACCTATTCATTTTATTATTGCTGTGTAGTTTTCTGTCTAAAGCACAAAGTCCTGTTTGCTGGCTTCAAATTAAAAGCAACAAATCCAAGCATTGATGTCAAGGAGGCAGAATACAAATTTTTAATAACTATTTTCAGTAAAGTGGGCAGGAAAATAGACTTTTGAATGCAATGAACCATAAAAGAAAAAAGTCTTGAGGTAGTAAGTTTAAGCTTGCATATGAAAGTTCAGTTGAAACTAGGACAGCTGGCCAAAGAAATTTCACTGCCATCCACCAAGTTCCCAGATGTATTTCTGCCTTGCCTAACTCCCCGAGGGAAGGTCCAAAGCTAAATGTGAACCAGCAAATTTGCTGAGCAAGTTCCCAGCTAGAATCCTGCTTGTTTTGACACAGCCAAGCAAGTCAACACTTTTGCAGATGTTCCAAGAGCAGACAAGCTAATAAAGTCTGGTTCCTGCTATAATAACCCCAGGCTATCCTCACATCCCTGTGGCAAAACCCTCAGTACTTCAAAGTCACTCTCCAAAGCCAATTAAGCTGAAGCTGGAAACACCCAGAACAGCACTTTTGTAATGGAAGACAAGCCAACTACAGCCAGAACAAAGGAGCTACACAAGTCAAATCCAGAACTACTGGGATAATGAAGCACAAGTAACTACGCTTTCCGAGACAAAACTCGTGTTCTGCCCCTGATCTCAGACCCTGAGGAAGTAGCCTCTAAGCCATCCTCACAGAGAGAATCATCATGAAAATCTACTATGCGCATCAGAAAACTCTGCTCACCACCTTTACTAAGAAGATAAATTAGTAACACACATGCTTTCTTCTCATCAGTCAAAAATATTAAATGCTGCAGTAAAACATATGTTTACAAGGCTGCTTTGCTGTGATATACCTGAAAATGGCAAAACAGACATGGCTGAAGAATTCCTAGGCTCACACTGTAGGCTCACTCACCTTTCAGCTAATACTTGCTAAATGTTACGTCCCCAGAAACGTGAGTAGCTTACAGCCTTTGCTGTGCAAAGGAACTGATAGGAACACAAAGAATGAGAGTCAGTATCCTGGTTAAGGACTTACCTGTCCCTTAAATGCATCAATGATAAACTGCAGGGACTGAGGCTGCACGCACTCAATACATTTCTGCACCACATGATTACCGTTCTGGTCTTTTACACACTTCAGGACATGGCCATCCAACTCCCGTACCATCTCGTTCTATTAGGAGAGAAAGAAAGAGAAAGCACCACCAGGATTCACGGCTGATAAAGGCAAAGCTTTGCTGCTAAGCACAGAAGAAGAACATGGAAGGCATGAACAACACACCCACGTGTTTCAGTAATCCCAGGGAAATTTTCCAGTGGCTGAGGGCTGAGATGAAACCTGCTACAATACAGCAGCCACCTACAACACCACTATTCTGAAGAGGGAACACTTCATTACGAGTATCCTCCTAAACCCAAGTGTTCCTAACCTAAACATTTAAGATGATTATTCCCCCAATATATAACTTTGCTAGGCTCTTACTGTTCCCTCCTCTGCTCCCCTAAGAAATATAAGACATTCAAACTTCACAAACTTCTAAGTATCAGCTTCACTCATCACTGGGAGAAAAACTTGTATTTTATGTACACAAGCTAATATTATACTGTAATTACGGATATCAAGCAGGCAAGTTCTAGATGTGACTAACATAACACATGCAGGCTGAAAGCTTTGTAAATGGAAAACAGTAAATGATTGTTGAGGAATTCAACAGTTACACACAAACAGACAATTTACCTTTGCAACTGATACAAAACCAGGCATTTCAGGAGCACACAGTACTCACAAAATAGCATTCAAAAGACATTGGGAAATCCTTGGATCAGCAGGGCCAGTTTGTGCTGCCCCTCATCACTCTACTGGCACAGCAGCACTATGAGATAGTGCTAAAGAGAACCTGTGCTTGACCCAAAAGGGAACACACACACTTCTAAATCCTATTTCAGTGTCTTTTGTTGGTGGTGGTGTTTTGTTTTTTTTTTTTCCTAACTTAATAACCTACATTAAGACTCCTATATAATGATTCCTAACACCTTTAGTAGCTAACTTGCAGAGTGTATTTTTCATCTTAATTCACTGTTAATAAAATCCCACTGGAATTGATTTATTAATGAGCTTTGAGTAGATTTGAGGCTATTATCAGCCCTTCTCCAACACTGTGCCTCGCTTGATGGGAATTAGGGGCTCCTCATACACCTCGCTCTGTGGGAAGCAGGGTACTGACCCACATATCACAGCAGCAACATTCCAGCAAATATGTCAAAGTAAAACTTTGGCACAATTTACCTCAAGGGATTTTAAAGCATCTTCTCATTCATACTAACATTCATAATTCCATCACCAGCTAGCCTATATCGCCTGACTGCAGGGAATTAACAGAGAACCAGTGCTGTTCAGTGGAACAGGGAGATGACAATGAGACTTGAGAACAGTATCACATACTTATCATGCACAAGAAACATAAAAGATGTACTATAAACCAAACCAAAAGAACACCATCCACAAACAAAACCGAGAGTAACAGAAGATTACAGTTCATATCACCAAACAGCAAGAAACGTTCAACATCAAGAAGAAAGTTAAAGGTGAAACTTACAATTACCTGCTGGTCTGGGGGAATAAACTCAAGGGCCTTCTGGATCACCCTACATCCATACATCTGCAAAGCCAGGGACAGAACATGCCCACGGATACGTTCTGCCAAGGCTAACTTTTGCTCCAGGCTGCCAAACTGGAAAGATTAAAACCAATCACCACAAGCACAAAATCCTCATGTGGTCAAGCAGCACAGCAGCCCTCCCAGTCTGTCATACTAAAGTGTTAAACAAGAAACACTGTACTTACTGAAAAAAAAAAAATAACAGCCATAGTTCAATGGATCTGAATGGGCACAAGCAAGATGTTTGTGCTGGCTCTGATATGCCTGACACACTTGAAACAAATTCCAGAGTATGTGCCACTTTGCTAATGCAGTAACGCTTGACAGGGTTGCTATAAAATTACCAGATTAAAAAACAAACTAAAATCACCAAGGCTGAGTGAAGAAGGAACTGACCAGTTTCAAGAAGGAGAGAGAAATAGCTGCTCACTCCCCTTGCATGGGAACACACATTTTTCTTCAATGGATGCTGTTTGTTGTGTTTTTAACACAAGTGCTTTCAAAAGTTTGTATTATTTCTAAGTACATGAGAACTAACAGCTCAGTGCAGCATCCACTGAGACAGAAAACTAATATTCGTTCGATCTCAGTCCCCTCAATACGTTATTTATTCTTTCAACTTTTTCACCTCAAAAGGCAAAATCTGTTCTTTAGAAGAGATTTTTAGTCCCACACTGCAGTCACCCCAACAGGAATGATGCAGCAGCACGTGGAGATGAAATTACATCAGTGTAGCCAGATACCCAACCTGAGCCAAATGGCACGGCTTCTAAGAACTCAGCCTATGCCTCAGGACGGCAGGCATCTGAGCAAGAATTATGAAGAGGGGAAATGAAGACTTACTTCAAAGAACTTCTGGATGACGTAATTTCCAAATACGTCCACCATCAACTGATAAGCTGCCTGGAGGATCTCGTTGAACACAAGCTGACGTTCTGCTGGGGTAGCACGCTCCAGTTTCAGCTGAATAAACCTGAAAAATAAGGCTGCTGTGATGCTACTGGCCAATGCATCCTCAGAGCATTTGTTAACACAAATCCACTCATAATCTTCACACCCTGAGCTTTTACAAAACACAGGTCTTTAAAAACAAGTGCCCTATATCAAAGCAAGTGGTGGCACTCGTGAGGTGTATGCCTATGTGCCATTATCTATATGCCAAAGACTCAAGCAAAGCAGATCTCAACAGAGTAACATGACAAGGTCTCACATCCAGGCAGCTTTCACATGAGTTCAGCTGTACCAGTGGGACTAGCAAGCAAATTCCTTTTTGGAGAGGGAACTCGACTCCAGTCTATAAAAAGGAGGGTCAGTGTTACACCACCCAGCTTAATGTCTTTTCACACCTCCTTTTCCACTTCACACCTCCTTTTCCTCTACTTCAGGATGCAATGCAAGCTGCAAACCACGTCAAATCAAAGAGCAGCTGTCAAAAAAACTCCCTACAGTGCAAGGTTTTAAATCCCACCTGGATCCATGCTGGTCCTGGGAGAACTCCATGATGTGCCCAGCAATTTCCCTCAGCTGTAAATTGGGGTACCGGTTATTGCGGAAGTCTTCGAGCAGCCTGCTGCGGCCGGAGGGCATAACATCAGACATGCCATAGCGCAGGCGAGACGAAGGGAACAGCGTGCTGCTGGGGCTGAAGAGGCTGGAGGCACTGCTTGCACTGCGGTACTTGGCTTCAGCTCCAGGAGCAGCAGAGATGTAACGGCCGCTTCCATTTGTGAGCCCTCCTGCAAGTCATAAAAACCAAAAGGATTTCAAAAGACGCAAATGAATTCCTTGGCTGTTTCGTTTCAAATGGATTCACAGCCTCTGTATGACATTTTACTTCTAATTACTCCTTTTCCATCAAGATGGACTTCTGACACAGTTCAAATAGGGCAGTACTCCCAGCCAAGCTAAACAAACTGCCCCCAAAATAATTTGGGTGGGAACGCATTTGAGCAGCGCCTTAGCATGGCACTCGTGTATTAGGTTGGGATGAACTGAAGAGTTCAGAAAAGAACAGGCTGTAGCAACTTCTGCTCCTCACTCTTTGTTGACACTGTCTAAACCAGACATGTCAATCCCACTGCTTGCATTTTTTTTGCTAACCTGAGATTTCAAATTACTTTATTTTGTTCCTCACCTTTTTTCCCCCCACCTACTCTGCTGCTGATCCAATCCCATCTAAACAGAAAGGAGTAGGGATGGAATTAAAGCAAAATTAGACAGCAAAAAGGCAGCAAGAAGCAAGTAGAAAAACAAAGATTACAAAACAAATCACTATTCAATACAGATAAACACCAGTAAGTTAAAAGCAATGAAGATCACAAAGAATCCTTTCAAACACATACTAAACATTTTCGTTCACACTAAGAAAGCACTTTGTTACCCAGGGAATAGGGCCTAGGAAATATCCATCACACGGTCAGGAAACTGCAAGTGTTGACAGCAGTCAGCTTAAACCTGTAAATGCCATTTTCTTGCCTGTACTTTCTGCTCTGTGCTTCAGCAGCACAGCAGAGGACTCATTCTTGCAGGGCTCGGGATCCCTCTGCTGGCCAAAGGCTGCAAGCTACTTGGGCGTGTGATTTCTCCTGAGCAGGCTAGAGATCTGTTAAGAAGAATATTCCTATCACATGGGAACGTGCTGCCTGGACAGCTAACGGGAGGCAGCAGGGGAAACCACCTGAAAAAATCCACAAGTGATCTTTGCAAAGGAGACAGAAGACCTTCAAAGGCCAAGGTCCGTAGGTCTGTCTGCAAAGAGAACAGGCCTTCTCCCAGCAGCCATGCAAAGAACAGATCCAAAATTAAAATATATTAATTAAAAAAAAAAAAAAAGAACACAGTGACCTGCACTCCCTGCCAGCAATGCCTCAAGGAAGCTTCCATGCAGGAAACACTATATGAGAATTAAGTATCTGATAACGGGCCAATTACGTTTCCCCATCTCTGCGCAGGGAGGCATGTTCTGACTTCTCCCCACCTGCTGCCAAACCTCTGCTTTCTCAGGAGGAAAGCAACTCAAGAACTTCCCGTTCCCATCTCTTCCTTTGTGCTGCTTTGCCAATGGCGTGGCAGGCATTTTCTCTATCCGACTTTTTAATTAAGAGCTCTAACAAGTGACTAAGTGATATTCCTTACTGCTGGAAGGACCAGCAAACACAAAGGGAATATGAAATCAATAGTTTCTACGGTAAAGGAAACCAAATTAATGAGCAACAGTGTACTGAGTCTTCACTGCACTCTAAGCACTCAGTTACCCTTTGTTTTCCCAAAGCCTGGAGCAGGTCAGAGCCATGGCACAATGCACTGAATTGAAAAACTGCTTCCTGATCTGCTGCAAACGGCTGTAAGTGGAAAGAGCTGATGCTGTTATCATCTATGTCGTGTCTCTTAGCTCAGAGGGAAAGTATCCTTTGTACAACCTTCTCTACCAGAGGTAGAGCCAAACCTTCTGATCATTTTGAAGGGTCTAGCTAAACCACTGAAGTTTTCCTAAGGGTCTCCCTTCTGCTGGAGATGCTGACTGAAGGTCTCTCCATAAGGTTCAACATCATACTGGGAATTAGAGACTGTGCAGGGACAGGTTTCCTAATAACACAAGTGCTTCTGAAACCCATCTCCCAAACTCCTGAGCACCTTAAGCTCCTGTACCCTACTGTGTGAGTGGGACCACAAGATGGGTAAAAAAGGAGGCTTCAGTATGATCTTACCGGAATGAAAATGCTCCCTGTTCAGGAACCACATGGGGGGGGAGGATGGAAAGAAGCACTCATGAAGCTTGTGGGAACATCAAGGTGGAACAGAGGAGCAGAGTCCCAGAGAACAGATGTGCCTCCTGCAAAGCTACTGGGAAGCAATCAGCCCCTGGCTGATGACTTGATCATTAACTCAAGTCATTGTGTGATTCTATGAAGCTGTTGGCACTGACAGATTCTTGTGTCCTCAGCCAGAAGAGAAGAGAAGGTCTTCAAGAGAAGGTCTGCAAGCTGTCTGCAGTCATCAGGCCGTGCCAGCACCTGGCTGCCCATGCTAAGCACTCTGACAGCATACAGCACATGGAGCTGTACAGAAGAAACAGGCGGGGCATAGTTCTGGTTCTAAACAGACTGACAGAGGAAGGCTGTACCTTCACTGTATAAACCTACAGTGCTTTTGTCTCAGCTATGCACACTCGCACACGTTGCACACACCTTTGAGCTTAAAGCATTTAAAAGTATTTAGCTCAGCTCTCCTCCCTCAGCAGTTCTCATAAGGACTGGCTGCACGCTGATTTCAGGTACTTGCAATTGCCCAGATATTTCACACGGTCACTTCATAACACCAGAAAAAAGTAATGTGACAAATACCGTTTTTCACAGCCATGAGCTTTCAAGGAAGCCACAAGAGCAGGAGCTGAATCTTTACGACAAGCCCAGCAAACAGCCAACTCTTACATCCCTGTGTGACAAAGCCAAACCCACCACACAAGCAGCATTTAACTGTACCTCTCCTGACTGCAAATGGGATTCAGCACCAGCTTCTTAAGTCGTCCTGTGACCTTGAAATTGAACTACGTGAAACAACTCCTCCACACCTCACAGTGATGGGATTTGGCTCTAAACGTGGTTGCTCTAATTTCCCTTTTGGCAAACGCCACATTTGAGTGTTCCCATCTGTCCTTTCACTTCTACGTATTAAGGAAACTCTTCTCAGCCTCTTTATCGCAAACAACTTTTGATATCATTCCAGAAAAGGAGTCTGCCTCAAGCTTCTTCTAATGCCTGTGATGTTTTCACAGCATTCAAACTTATTTTATAACTCCAAGAAATGGCGACTGTGTTCATACACCACAGGTGAAAGACAACACAATAAAATGACCCTACAGATAAAACCCACATCCAGTTGTGACACTTCTCCTGCAGTAACCACCAAGCATGAAGTCAGCCACATAAGGCTGATAGCTGCTACAAGGAAAGGAGCATCTTGTCAGAATGGGAAGACCCATGCTAACTGCTCTGGGGCACAGTCCACTTGTGTAAATGGCAGCTCCCCTTTCTTTCCAGTGTTTGTTCTTGGAACAGACTAACCTTTCTCTGATCCAGTTTTTAAGATTCATTCTTGTTTGCCTGCAGGGGCAACAGACTTTTCCTAGAGCCAGAATTTGACTCTGGTTAGTCTTTAGCATTAATTTAGTGTAGCTGTCCAACTGTCAGCTTAAGGACTATACAGCTGCATAAATAAAGCTAAAACTCTATCCAACTCTATTAAAGCTCAGAACAAGAGGAGATGGTAAATTTAAGGCTGATCTCAAAAATCCAATTTATTACTATTTCATACTAGCCTTTAGCCAGAACCAGCATTTATCACGCACACATTCAGTAAACAAATATACTATCTGATAAGTAAGAGTGTGCATGCATGTAGGAAGCATTCTGAGAAACAGAAGTTGCATTAAATCCAGACAGATACTTGACAGAACCAAAACAAAGCAATATTCTGAACAAACACTAAATTATTTGGCACAGATGCAAAGAGTAACCCATCTTTTTTGTTTATGAGGCATGGGAATGAATGCTTCAGGAAGTTCAGATCAGCACTGCTTTATTATTTAATACATGCAATAAAGGCTTTAAAATAAAGCATGTAACAGTTCTGGATCAACTAAGAGATGTAACTTGCATGAAGCAATGTATTTAACCAAAACTAAGAAAGCCATGTGCTAATGTACTTTGATAATGTTATACTGATGGGAATTTTCCAAAAGCAAAACCAAAATCCTCAGCTAGAATTACTGCCCTAGATAACATCACATATTTTGGTTAAGAGAAGCAGCTTTATTCTAAGTTAATTAACTTATTATTGAAAACTGATTGGATATTTTGCAACATCTGACAAGCTTACGGATCTACATACCTATACAGTTCAAGGATAACAAACAATTGGTGCTTTCTCTGTGTAAGAAAATTGTTTTTAAAACACCCAGAAATGTCATCCAAGTTAATGTTAACATAGAGATGAAGAATTTAGGGAGCAATGCACATCCCTTCCTGTTTGACAGCTCAGCTACTGAGAGAGGCAACAACACAGAACATAAGTGCTGCAACTCCTGCTTCAGCATTTCACCAACTCCTGCAAAAGCAGGGAACCTGTGGCAGGAATAAGAGCAGTCAGCAGAGCACACCTCACCCACACAGCAAGGCAGGTGCTAGAATCTCTGCTCAAAGGGGGAGCAGGGCAGCAGTAACCTCATACAGTGGCACTGTGGCTCTTACCCAGGTTTAGACTGGAAGAAGATCCATGTGAAGATAAGGAAGGTGGTGGAGTCTGAGAGTGGCCAGGTCCTTGGCTGGGCAGAGGCATACCCACAGGTCCAGGAGAGGAGGAAAACCCGAGGCCATTGTAAAAACTGTGTCCTATAGGTGTCAAACTGCTGGATGTCCTCTTGTACAGGTCACTGCTCCCTGTCAGGGAATCTCGGCGAGAGCCGCTGCCAGTGTTGGAGTTAGCAACTGAAAGAGGATGAGAGCAGAGGTGAGTATGGACAACAAACTGCCTGAGACAGCATGAAACCTGAAGATGCCTGCAGAATTGACAAAAATATAGGACCTATTCTAGTGTGGTGGTATTGCTTTCCTAAGGGTACTGCATGTGCCCAAATGAAACGCAGTAATTACAGACATTGGTAGTCGTCAAGTTAGAAATCCTTAGTTCAAATAATTAGCCAAAATCCTGCTTTTGTTTCCTATGGTTTAGTAGCTTTCATATTGAGAACACATCCAGAAATACAGCTCCAAAAGCCTAAAAGCCAAAAGATCAGAAGATATGACGTACCTAAAGGAAGTGACAGAATAAAAAAAACAAATGACAGCAAGTATTTTGGCTTCTCGGTGCAAGCACTTGCATTTTGTTTCTGAACCCTGAAAAGAAGGGTTTGTACACTTCAAAGGGCTTTTTCCCCCTCAGTGTTTTGCTTTGTTTAAGGGAAGTTATTAGATCTCCCTACAAGCACTGCCTCATATTTGTTCTTTGGCCATCAGAGCTATAACAAATCCAACATGAGATTTCATCTATTCTTTACTTAAGAGCATATATAGCTTTGTGTACATTTCCTTGGAACCCTCCTTCTCACCTTTCATTATATTAGAGAACAGCTGAGGAGTCACTTCTTTTTTACTTCTGTTTACATCAGGGTTTATTGAGATGGAAATCAGAATTTAAGCACATAAAAACATTTTGGAGAGTTTTCTTGTAAATGAAATAAAAACCTCTTCAAACACACTTGAGAAATAATCATTTTTGCATTAAAATCTCGTTTAATAGTAGAATCGTTAATGATTGTAATGAATTAATCATTTTTTTCCATGACTGTACATAACTTCTAGAAGCAATGGCGTCACATTTTTGTTCATGGATCAAGGGAAAACAAGCTTGTGCATCTCAGCTTTGCACAAACCAGTCACTGAATTCAATTAGTCAAATGAACTGGAACGAAAGAAGTGAATTCTGCATTTACTTTAATCCAAGATGGTTCTCATTTTCAGGCTGGGATTAAGGAAAATATTTACAGCAGCTTTTAAATAAACCTGTGACTTGATTCAGGGACACTGCATCTCTTGGCCTCTTCTGATGGACCAGGTTCTAAAGGCATGCTTTAACTTGCCCTTCAGACTGATGAAAGCAGGAAAGTCCAGGACGTAATTACTACCTCTAAGACTAAGCAGCAATTAAAACAATTGTTCTACTTCAAAAATAAAATCAATTAAAAATAAAAGGAAAAAATCTCAACCCACAGACATCTTTCTTGTTTGGTTTTATTCTGAAAAAAATCATTGTCTCCAACTGTCCTACAAGCAAATCAAAAGAAAGTTTCCATATTTCTTGCAACCACAAGTCCTGGATTCTTTTGGGCCGTAAGATAGAAATGATGCCCAGAATAAAGCACAGAAAGCACCTTTAAGCCACCAGAAGCAAGTTCCTCAGCCACTGCTGAGTAAGAGTCAGCACACAGACAGTTACCCCTGCGGAGCCAATTCCTGCCAGGCCAGTATCTCCACCAAGCACATGCAAGTAAAGGCGAGGTGATCCAAAGCTGTTCAACAGCTTTATGCGCAGCAGCAAAAGGATGTCTGACAACGCATCAAATGTGTGGAACAAATTTAATATATTATCTCAATATATTATCTGCTAAAAGAAGTCTCATCAGAACACAGTGTACATTTTGAAAGCCAAAACAGCTCCCAGTGAAGCAGCCGCAGCTCCTACCTGCTGTCCCGAAGCCTCCCAGTGCAGACCCCAGCGTGGCACCGAGGGAGCTGCTGCTCCCAAAGCCCAGGGAGGTGTTGGCAGGCTGGGCAGAGCCCTGAGAGAAGAGGGAACTGCTCTGGGAATTGCTGCTGAGTGAGTTGTTGCCATAAAACGAGCTGGAGGCCAGGTTGTTGGTGGGCTGCTGCTGCGGCTGAGGCTGGGGCTGCTGTGTTCCCAGGGGGCGGAAGGGGCCGTTGGTGGTTCCTGCCAGGCCCCCAGCAGCACCGTTGGCTGAAGCTGCTGCTGCTGCTACTGCTGTAAAGAAAGTAATGGGAAGCAGAGTTTGAAAAAATCCATTTTGTATCTGGTTTGGAAGTCAAGTTTCATCAGGTTCCTTTTATTTCCTATGGATTTTCTTCTTCTTTTCTCAGGATGAAAATCTCCCTTTCACATCAAACTCTTCAAACACCTCTTTACTCTAAACCTATGCTCCTCCATCAGGCTTGCATAAAGCCACCAATACCAAAGTGTAAAATTATTATTACTGCTGTTTGTATTATTGCAGCTATATGGATCAAACAAGTTCTCTAAGATCTGAGATCCAATAACTCAGGCACACACTTGGTGCTAGCCAATCAAGGAAGCTGAGTTTAGAAATAATCAGTGCATGAAACTCACTCCTGCAGTGCTAAGAACATCAAAACCAAATACTTTTGTTCTCCAGCCGGTTCCAAAGCAAAAGGAAAAAAGCAAAATAAACCAGAGCTACAAGGAAACAATTTAAAAGCCCATTTCATAATCTGTTAGCAACACTGGTCAGGAATGCTTACACACAGATTCTTGCTTGAAAAATTGCTTTTAAACCTTGAACTCCCAAAACAACCCTAATAAAATCCAAAACGACTTGTGGCAATGACCAGGCATATAACTTTTTATGTAAGCAAGGCTCTCATTTGGGAGTTTGACATAGGCTAATACCCTTTATTATGTGGGAAACTGAGTGTCAGCAGACCAATTGAAATAACTCGCAAAATTCAGCAAAATAACACTGTTTATGCTACGCCACCTCTCAGGGTTATTTCTCAAGGCTCAGCTCACAATGAGTCCAGAAAAAGCTCTCAACAAAATCCCTGCAGTGGATCTCTGTGAGGGCAAGTGAGTCATCATTGCCAGAAGGGCACAGAGGGGCTCAGTCCCGCTCTCTGTGGATGGAGACACTGTGGTGGGAGCAGGTTTCCATCTGGCTGGGTTGGAACTCACCTGCTTGTGCTGCAGAGGAGCTGATGATGACTGGTGCAGGGGCCACCAGGCGCACGGGTGCCCCCAGGCCATTCCTTGCCCCCGCATTCACCACGAGAGCACCAGTTTGGTCATAGTAAGCAGCAGGAGCCAGCACAGGGTATCCTAGAGAGATAAATTACAGCACATGGTGAGGGGACAAGCAGCACAACATGTGGGCACAAACAACTGCAGTTCAGTAACATTTCTAAATGAAAATCACAATGGTAAAGGAGAAAAGCAACAACAATTTTGATTCTTGTGAAGCAAGTTCTCTGCATTAACCACCCACAACTTCCACACTTACATCTCTACCTTTAAGTCTTTCAGTTAGGGAAGAATTTTTTTTTTCCCTGAAGCTCCTATATAACCTTTGTGTAAATTCAGCTACCCAGAGGGGGGAAAAAAAGTCTTAAAATACTACAGTGCTATTTCTTTTCCCTTACAAGTACAGCCTGTGCTGGCACACTCCATGTGAGCACACTGTGCTCCCATCTCTCCCACTGCATGTTGGAGCAGTTCTGTGTGCACACAAATAAGGCAGAGAATTTCAAGCTATGTTCAAGATGTGACTTTTGAAGATACATATTTATAATAAAGCATTCTTAAATGCATACAAATAGTCGTAAACAAAAAACATGCTTATGACACAAAGAGCAGCAAGCAAAAGTCCTCCCATAGCATACAGCTGCTCAGTTTAGGTACCCAGCTATAGCATTTTAGATTAAAATACTCCACACACAAAGAACAACACAGGAAAAAAATGAAGTCGTTCCCTATACTGGGGTCACAAAGAGGAAAGCATTCTGTGAACATTTGTTTTGAAGCTGTAGCCTCCAGAACCCCAGCAGCACAGACTCAAATCTACAGATTACTTTGAAAGCATGTATGCTACAGGCTCACTTTGTAACTGAATACAACAACACTCTTCTTAAGCCTTAAAAAAAAAAAACAACAACACATGAAGCAACCATGTGGCGCTTCCAGTAAGCAGACCTGAGGCCAAAATAATTCTCTTTGATTGCATTTGACCAACAGGACATACTTGCACATTATTCAAAAAAATACTTACATATGCACTTTGTCATTACAACAATATTCTGCATAACCAATGTCAGAAGCATTTCTACCACAGTCTCATGGATCAGAGCTAAAACCCACTCAGCACTTCTCTCCTGCAGAATTATAACAAAACTCTGCTTTTGCTTCTTTTTCTTTTCTAAGCCACTATTATTTGTCTGGAAGAAATTATTAAGGGGAAGTCTTTAACCTGTTAAAATCAAGCACTTGACAGGGATGGGCAGACAAAGCTAATGAACAGTACTAAGATATCTCAGAGGTCTTAAAATAAAAATGACATAAGGTAGCATGAACCATAGAAAATCATGGAAACGACTTTCAGTAGGAGCCATCAATTTGGGGTATGCAATTAATGCGTCAGTACACCGATAACATTTGCTTCACCTGTGATACAGGAATCTAAACCCTGCTTTAACTTAATGCTGCACTGGTGGTTATGCTGTATCTAACAGCCTCTCCAAAATGCCTTGTATACCCACAGATTAAAACCATGAAATGCTGTAATAAAAACAAAACTGATGAATGCCAAGCAAACGTGACACCATGCAGAGACTCAAGATGTAATCATCTTGGATCTCACTGGACAAGTCACAGCCTCCTGGCTCCCTACCTGGCATTCCTGCTGCCAGCCCTTGTCCAAAGGCAAGGGCAGAGTTGACGGCGGCAGCAGCCACCAGAGGATCAGTCTGCTGTCCCTGCTGGTTCTGGTTTGGGGTCAAAGGACGCTGACTGGCTCCTCCACGTAGAACCTGGAGAAAACAGGAAATGGGTCTGGTTAGTTTGGCACCTGGGAATAAGCCACAATAACCACTGCAGGAGTCCAGAAGCAACCTAAGCTGCTAGTTCTTGCACACAGTGGCAGCTATGTCACAACCGGTGCACGACAATCCCTCCTCTCTACTCAGAACACAACTGCCTTCACCACCAAAAGCGGTAGCACTGTTTCCAATGGGTAAATGCCTAAGACTCAATTTAAATAACACACCCTTCTTCAGGCTTCCCAAGCATAATCTCAAAGAGCTTCAGTTCTAGTCTCCTGACATACCTTCAGTCCTCATCCTCCATTAGAAGCATCTGTGAGCCATCTGTCCCATTAGAGATAACATTTGGTCTCTGCCACAAGAGCACACTGAAAGCCCACTTATGCAGAAACCTTTACAGACTTGTGAGCTATGGGCTGATGACATGAAGTGACACAGGTTTTTCCAAACTGCCATCCACCTCAGAAAACAGTGACCCACTGACACGACACTTACTCACTGGAAAGAATGACCAGAGATCACACACGTAGCTCTTGTGGTTTAAGCACACATTGCTCTGAAAATGGAAGATGGCAAACTGACCTTTCCTGTAATTACCTGCGACAGGCTTTGTTTGCAAAAGCCTTTTACTCAGCAGTGATGTTAGAGCCTGCAGCCACTTGCGAGGTCAGTTCATTAAAAGAACTGTCCTTTGGTACTCAGCATGCACTGTTGCAAAAATTAACATTGTATGTGTCACCCGATAAAGCTGTTAAAAGCAACCAACTGCTTTGTGCACAGCGACTGGGGGAGGATATTGAAGCTAACAGACCTGAGACATAACCCAGAGCTAGCTACTGCTGCCAAAGCCTGAACGTGAACTCTTCACCTCTTTTCAGCCTAGGACACCTCACAAGCTGCAGCTGCTTGGTAAGCACACACAGTGCACAGGCACTCTGCAGAATGCAGTTGATGGACGACGTGCTGCAGTAAGTGAAGCGCTGGCAGTTTTATAAATACACTATCCCTCCTAAGATGTTTTGAGCATCACAAACAGACTGTCCACACTCATCACTCTGTATTTCTAAAACCTTCGCCTCAGCACTTCTCTGAAGGATTTCATCCAAAAATGTACACTTATCTTCTTATAGACAGAAAGTCTGCATTAAAAACAATACACGCAATCCCCACTCATGCCTGCTTTGTGGCTACAGAATAATGAAAAATATCATAAAGGCTACTGATGATTGATAGATATTGCTTTAATAGCTTAAGCCTTTGCAGAAGCTCTCTTTGCATGTACCTATTTAAAGGGGAAAGATGTGCCAAAGCACAGTTGTGCCCAAGCACAGATGTGCCACTTAACTCCATTTACCTGTGTGCATGGATGTGTGCAGAAGGTCTGTTCAACACACTCCTGTCAGAGACCTGCCAGGTGGGGAGGTTTGATGATTAACTTTGTCAGGAGCAAAGCGTTCTCCTTCTGATCACTGGTCCAGAACCACTGATGTGAAACATCATTGCTTTTCTTATCTGAAAAGGCCTTAAAATACTACATAATCTTTTTTAGCTTTAGTGTTTTGCTGTTCTTTTGTTGTTGTTGTTTGTTTTTTAAACAAAAGCTAATAAATGTAGTTGTCAATTGCAATCTTCTCTAAGGCCTGAAATCTCAACAGCACAAAGGCCAGAACGGAAGGCTCTGTGCTTCCTCCCTTTTCAGTAGGATAATGAATCCATTTTGTATCCAAGAAGGAACTCCCATAGGACAGCAGCTGATAATAGTGTATTAACCCAACTTCAGGAGAGGAGCAGTGCTTTATCCTGACATCAGACCAGGAAGCTGTGCAGCACAGCCAGCCGAGTAACTGAAGCCCCTGTCCAGCTCACGACAACTGCCCAAGAGGCCCTCTTTCAGCTCAAAGTGGAGTACATCCACACACACATCTAGGAGGAGCACAACCCAAAGAAGAACAGCATGGTGACCCTAATCCTTCTAGCATTTGACTTCACAGATTTACTATCAAGAACTGCACTTTTATTTTCTTGAAGAAAATAAAAAAATACATACATAGAACAGCACCTTGAAGCAGAGAGCACACCACTTACTGACAAGGAGTATTGGACACATTTTCATCTCCTCCACAGCTTTCACATGAAAACAGATTATACAGCCATGACTTCCACTCACACATCACCAGCACGTGCTTGCTAATAAATGACTGTACATTATTTCATGTGCCAAAGCACCCTACCACATACCTGTTGCTGGCCCTGCTGGGTTTGCTGAGTGGTCTGCTGACTTGCTGAGTTAGTGGCAGCAGCAGCTGCTGCAGCTTGCTGCTGGAAGAGGCTGGCAGGATAAACTCCCCAGGGTGTAACTCCGTAGTACTGGTGAGGGACAACTGCAGGGCCTGAAACACAAGAGAATCGATGAGCTTCTGCAGTGTCACAAGCATTACGCAGCAAACAGTCACCAAAAATATCCGCACATCATGTTTGATTTTACAAATCCTAGATCAAGGTTATTGGCTTTAAATTCTTTCCAAATAGAAAGGGATTTTGCTATCTGTAACATCCCTTTTAAGAAAGCTTATAGTTAGACCTGAAGTTTCACCTTTACTTGCTTTTACCTTAGCAGAAGTCCAGTCCTGCTGACAGTGATCCTGCTGAACCTCCACGTTTTTATTGGTGAGCCCTAATTTTATAGTGAAGCAACAAAACTTTTTACCTCTAACATAAAGAGAAGGAAACGCCTAAAAAGAAACACTGAAGTCTCTCCTAATCTTAACTGACACTTGAGGCTCAGTAACATCCATCACTTAGCTCCCAATAAATAAGGTATAATATAATAACCCTTCTTCACAGCCAGATAGCATCAATTCCCAAGTGTGTGAAATGTTCTTCTAGCTGCTCAGTCCTACCATGTGTTCACAAACCACCACAAGAGAGCCCAGAAGATTCCCTATCTTTCCACACCCACCTTCCTCTAACTGCTGCCTCCATTTAAGAGTTTTTTTTTTTTTTTAAATAAGTAATTATCTTGAGAGAAGAACAAAGAAAGCACTGTGCTTCATCAGCGCTCAGGGCACTGTACACTTCGTTGGGTGATAGTAAAACAGCAAAGTGTATCCTTAAATAATCCTGGTGTCATGGCATGATGTGGAAGAAGAGATGAGCCCTTGGCACTGAACAGCACAGACCCTCCCACCACCTGTGTGAATCCAACAGTATTTTTAATCTGTCTGCTCTGTATCTTTTGAAAAGGTCATCAGGAAAGTGTTTCCTTCGCTTTTCCAATACAGCACCTATCCCAGGAGTTGAATAGCACTTCCTTGCAGTAAAAGCACCTTGCACCATGACAGCCTTAAGATAGAGTGCTGCATATTGGACAGTCAAATAAACAACTATTTAGTGAATTTGAACCGCACAGTTAGAATAGCTTCTATTTTAAGAGATAGCATTTGAGTTCTAACCAAGTCGTTCACGTAGTGTTAGTTTGCTCAGTAAGTCTCTGCAAGGAGAACACAGTTAACTCACAGTGCTCTCTTTGACCAAAGGAGACACAACCTGTTTGTATTCACTTAATAGAGATACCAGGTGCTGGGGTGCTTCTGCGCTCATGAGAAAACAATTTGCAAGGTTTTAGGCAAGGAATGTGTGTCTGCCTTTGCCCTTGGGCTACTGGGATGTTGTCATATTACCCTTTACTTGGGCAAGATTCGGGCATGGCTCTGGGTTATTTTAATCTCAGTTTTAATTATCAAGCAAGCAGAATCTAGAAGTTTTTCCTTTCTTTTTTTTCCTAGTTAGAGATTGCTCATCAGATCTGCAGAAGCCTGAGGTGTTTAGAGGGAGAGGAGACAAAGGCTTTGAAGTCTGCAGGCAGCAGGGCTTAAAAGAGCTCTGCACATCCCTGCGAGCCCGGCTCAGCTGTGCACACTGTGAGGCTCTCATTACTGAACAGTGTTCTCAGTGAGGGCAAGTGTGTCATCATTGCCAGACCCGTAAAGACACACACACACGCTTCTTTACTTCTGCAGACATCACACTTGCTTTTACACTTATTAAAGATGCACATACAGGAAAAAATAAAAGCTGCTTAGTGCCTTTGAAATCAAATATTCCCACTGCTATGTCTCACACATTGACAAATATGCACTCCTAAATATTCCTTCTAACAAACAAACATTTTGCCCAAGGAGGCTGTGGATGCCCCATCCCTGCAGGCATTCAAGGCCAGGCTGGATGTGGCTCTGGGCAGCCTGGGCTGCTGGCTGGTGACCTGCACATAGCAGGGGGTTGGAACTGGATGAGCATTGAGGTCCTTTTCAAACCAGGCCATTCTGTGATTCTAACAGAACCAATAGAAGTGCATTCATGGCACATTTCTTCCTTTTAGTCTCAGCCTTCACACTAACATCTCTCAGTCAGAAAGCACAGCTGCAGGAACAGGACTAAATGGGACTTCCTGCTAAGGGTAAGGACTTGGTGACACCAGAGCGTCCAGAACCCCATGTCTGAAAACGCAAGTGTGCAAACAGAACTTCACCAAATATACTTCACCAAAAATACTTACAACACTTGAGCTGATCCATGCACAACTATCAGTATGGCAGCTGCAGACATCCAAGAAGTGGTGTCTTCTCAGATAGGGAGTGGGAAATAGCTCAACTCTACCAACTCTGGTGCAGCATGAAGCCCTGCCTTACAGCCCCTGTGGCGAGCACAGACCCACACCAGGAGGGTCACCTGTGCATGACACCACGCCTCAGCCAGCTCCATGTGCTCCCCAAAGCCCCGTCCCAGGCAGTGTGCATGCAGCCATAACCGTTTCCAGCTCTGAGCTGGCTCTGTACAGGACACAGATCAGCACCAAGTGAGAGAGGCTTCTAAGAAAGCCCAGTTTGAGAAGGACAGACATCTGAACAGACTCTACCTTCAGTCTCGGAGCGCTGTGTTTTTCCTGTATGCAGATTATTCCACCATCCACTTTTCTACAAAGAACAGAAATGCTTTTCTACCTATTATATACCTCAGAGGGAATCAACATTTCCCGACTTGTCCTAAAAGAGACAAGGTTTTTCTTTTTTTATTATCATTATTTTTAATTGACATCTTTCTCAAATGACAGAAGTAATTTCACATTTTTTAAAGACAGCAGCATCTTCCCCAAGGACTGAACTCACAAGCTATCTTTCTCGAGTCTAGGAAGCCCTTCCCTCTATTCAAATGTGCTATTTTTTTTTTAACTGTTGCTATTGTTGGGAAGAAAAGAGCATTATCATGGGGCTGACAGTCTTATAATCATGCAAAAGCTGCCATAATGATACACTCTTAATTGGCAGAATCATCTCTGCCATAAAACACACAAAAGTTTCCACTCCTAAGAGTAACTGCGAACAATAGACTACCAACAAATCTCAATTCATTTCTTCCATCTCATTAACTTCTTCAAGTCTTCCCAATTTAATGCTCCCTTACAAATCAGGGAGGCCTTCTGTGGGTAGACTTGTAGCTCTAAACAGCTCAGTAGTTCCACATCCCTGCAGCACATCACTCATTCTTAAGAGAGAAAAGGCTTTCAAAACTGAGTCTAGACATAAAAGGTGCCTTCACTCAAACAAACACAGCCAGAAGAGAAGTCTGTTGCACTGCCATTTTAGCAGAGTCCAAAGCCCAACAAAACAGATGAGTTAAACAAAACAGATGAAGTAACTCATTTCTCAGTGGTGCAATACAGTAAGCACATTGCAGTGAATTACACACTCTTTCTGTTGTTTTCAGGAGTCATAAAGTTTAAAAATTATTTAAGAAGAGACTCTCATGCTAAGTTTGGGGAAGCTTTAGGCATCCTAGGGGGTCTATTTCCTAGCTGAAATTTATGAAGCCTCCATCAGACATTCAGGCGGTTGCAGCTTCAACACTATTGAGAAAAGGGAGAAAAAAAATAACTTGAGAACACACTTTTAAGTGCTGCAGGATTTCTAGAAGTGGTCATCTACGAAATCAAGGCAGTGACCTGCTGCTCCTCTAACTTCAGTGTGTTACTTAAAAATGAACACAAGTGTTAAAAGCACTAAGGTGATGCAGAAAGGCCAACCAGAATCTTCTCTTTATAACAGTTACTTACAAAAGGGCACCAAAGTACTCTTATCATAACTGGACCTCATACTGTTCTGGCAACCTCCTCTCCAACAAGACCTGACTAACGCTCCCTATCACAGTGCTCACAGTGAGCTCAGGTCATTCATTCATTGCTACACTTTCCTCATCACATGGCAGCTTATCAACTCCTCGAAATATCCTTGTACTCTAGCTCTTGGCTTTCCTCCACCTCATCACAGCGTCATCTGTTTGCCCACAACATGTCCTTACCCACACTTATCTTCCATTGTTATTATGCAATCAGCATACAAAATGCACAACAGCCAAAAAGTCCAAAGCCCACACCTTCAAATTACAAATTTAACTCTTACCACACTTTCATACGATCCATTAAAAAAACTACAATCCCATTTCAGAGCTTGACCTGATACCAGCCCCACAGCTCTGAAGCTAAGCAGCACTTATCTAACAGCTGCTGAACACAACAAGAAGCCACATCCCAATCCTACAACGGAGTTTAACAGCGCTCTGTTCATGGGCAGCCACGGTTTCACAGTTCCCATTTGGTACAAGCTCTCAGCAGAAGAGATCTGCAATCAGCATACAAGCTACATCTAAGTGGAAGATAGGAACAGTGTGTTGCCTCCACTAAAAAAAATAATCACTCTGAACTAAGCTGTTTCTATTTAAAATTTAGCAGGCTCCCACTCCAGGTGGTAGAAGAAAAGTGAAGTATGGTATAAAAATATTCTTCAGAAAGTACATTCTTCTTTTGTCTTGACTGGTTAGGCCAGAACTTTATGGCATATGCAGAGAGAGTTCAACGTGCAATGTGTTCTTCTCACTGTCTGATAAGCTGTTTTACTGAGCTGTCATCTCAAGATACAACAATTTTGGCTATGACAGTTGGAAAGAATTTGGAAACTGATACACGAATGTTTGGGAGGAAGATCTTGCACAAAGAGAAGTGCCACCATCTCTGCCTGCCATCTGGACAGCCACACATTCCTTGCAGGAGCCTTGCAGCAGATATGGGGTGTTTTTACCTACAGAATCTAAAAAGCATCATTTCTTCAGAAGCATCTAGCGAAGGGAGGAGATATCACTCACAGCAGCAAAAAGATACAATATTCCTGGTAGGAAAACACATCCTCCATCTTTTTAGTATTTACAAAGTGTATTTTCAAAAGGTATCTTTCAGTACTATCAGCTACCAAAACATCCCAAACATGTGACAGCATTTATCTCTGAGCACTTCATTTCAGACTTGCTCTGTTGTTCATCCTCAACAGAAAAAGAACCTACAGCAGGTGTTCTGCAGGAGAAAATAAAGGTTTCCAAGATAAACACTGCTTTAACTCTGCAACGATATACATTCTAGAGTGATCACAAAGGACTAATAATTAAGTGCTGCTATCAGTAAGGAACACACAGACAAGTGGAAGCACCTCACCTAATGTGGCAGCTGCGGCGAGCCCGGCTGCGTACGGATCCGTTCCTGGTGGAGCAGCGCTGATGATGTACGGATTGGGGACAAAGGCAGCAGGAGCTAAACCTGCTGAAAACATACCTGTCAGTGAAAACAAACTTAACTAGAACTGAAGCCCTACCAAAGTACCTCCTGCTATTTGACTGGGGACTAGATTGACTGAACATTGCGGAACAAGGGCTTATGTTGTTTTAGTATTTTCAAGCTTTTTATAGGTTGTTTTCCCTGTGTTTCCCAGTGTTGTTACAACAACCTAGAGAGGATATAATTTACATTAAAAAAAAGAAACACTGGATTCCAAACATGCAGTGCTGCATTAAGAAGGCTAAAGTGGCATAACAGTCTGCATACAGTACCTGCAAACTGCTCAGGTATCTCAGCAGTGCAGATGCACCCTTGCTGTTTAAGTGGCTTTTAACACCAGTTAGATATTAACATTATCTAATTGCTTATTTTGATGAGTAAGTTATCAATTCTCCCTACTTTCTGAGTGCCATGCCATGCCATTGTACCAGTACTTCAATTTGTGAGTCTGGAAGGAGCTCAGGAATGCATGGACAACATCACGGCCTGCTCTTAGTGTCTGTGCAGGAACTGCTTTTCTCTTCAAGGTACAGTTTAATCATTAGAGAAATTATTGGTAGGCGGGAGGGGGTGTGGAAGGTGGTAAAGGTGAAGGGGAATAAGTTAAGAAGCCAAAGAATTTTAATTCAGGTCTAACCCTGAGCTCCACTGAGTGCATAACTGTGCAGCACAGAGCTGAGAGAACCCCAACACAATTGGGCTTTTAGGTTCCAAAAACTACCCATTAATTTGCCTGCTGCACTAAAAACATTTAACCCTGAGATTGTTCAGCTCTGATTAGAGCCCTATCCAGGAGTAGCCCTTCCATCAGTCTGTTACTCTATACAGACTACCTAAGTGCTTTCCTCCCACTCAATCCATACTGTTTTAATATTACAAATCATGCATTTGCACAAATTACAGCTTTAAGTTAAATTCAGACCCCAAGCAGCCTAAAATTCTACCGTGTGCTAATTTAAACATAGATTGTCAAGCAGAAAGCACATTCAGGTGTACACAGAATTGTACACGTCTTCCTCACTTCAATGCAGCCAATTCACACCTGACTTGGAGCAAGCAAGTACTTCAGAATGCTCCCACTGCTGAACAGCACTCTCAGCAAAGTAAGTTTGTGTCATTCCTGTGAGACATGACTGCTCTGGAGCTTCTTGAAAAATAAAAGAGGTTTCTCCAGAACATTTCAAGTAGATCTTCAGACAATGTTCTTCTCTTTATGGTTCAAGTACTTACCAGTTGGAAAAACACATCTATGATTCTCTAAAACCTACCAACACTTTCTCCCTGTAGTCTTCCCAAAATATTCTGAGGACTAAGAGACCACTAAAAAAAGGCAATGTATTAAATACTAGGCTTACCTATATGAGGCTGATGGGCAGCTGCCAATGCATACTGCTGCTGCTGGGCTGCTGTTAGCTGCTGAACAGCAAGTGCATTCGGTCTTTGGAACAACTGAAAGGACAAAAGAACAAATACAGTCCTTTATTTATGCACAAAAATCACTTTAAAAAAACAAAAACCAAACAATTCCTTTACACTATTTTTATTTGCACAACTACCAACACTCCTTCTTAGCAGGAAACATTTCAAAAGGAAATTTAAAATAATATCTTTGAAACCAATTGCCTGTGATGATCCACTTAAAAAGACAATATTTCTCAAGTACAGCTAAACCCAACCCACGGTTTCTTCTGCTGTTCTCTGCACAGTTGCCCCAAGGCCTTGCCTCCCCAGCTCCTCCTCCAGCACGCACACACACACACACACACACACACACACACACACACACACACAGCCTGGAAATCACCAGGGGCTGCCACAGCTCTTGCAGAGCCTGAGCACCACCAGCTATGCTGAGAGCACAGCTGCATCAGCTGGCAGCCTGGGCTGCTTTCATAGGTGTTCTGAAATGGGTAGTGGGACAGCAGGCAGAGGGGAAAGCTCACATGGGAGAGATGAAGCTCTTAGGATTGATGCAGGAGCTCACAAACCCTCAGATAAATGAGGGAGAAAAGGCTTTTTCCTCTACCTTCTAGCTTCCAGCATCACCTACGTAAAACAAGGCAAGGAGCACGTATTCTTTGACCACAGACAGAAACCAGACCCAGGGACTTCTTGGTTAAGTCATCCAAGCACATCCAGGCTTGCCAACTTACAGTTCACTACAATCTTTGGAAACAATGTGCAGTGTTACTGAGAACAGTCATTCTTAATATGGAAGGAACACCACAAGTCCTTAAAAGAAAATGTGCTTTTACTTTTTTTTTCTCCTGTTCATCCAGACTCTTACTAAGCTTACTTCCTGTGCCAAAGATGCCTCTAAATCAATGAAATACTCCCTGAATCACTACATTAGCACACCATTGTTCATGTCCAGTAAAAGCACTGAAAGCCACCCTAAAAATTCTCAGGAGCAACATTCCACCCATTTACTCCCCAAAGTGATCATTTCTGAGGTGTGAATGACTTCATAAACCATTGTGATAAATGTTTTCTCTCTGTAATTGCTTGCGGAAAAAGAAAAAAAAAAAAACCCACAAAAATACCAGTGCCCAAATGCTATACAATATTCACACCTATTATCCCTGCCTTCCTTTCAAGGTGTCAACCAAGACAACCAAGGCTTCCGCTGTCAAAAGCAACAATAATAGTTCTGCCCAAATTTCTGGCAGAAGCCTGCAACCAACAAGCAGAGAATCATTTAGAAAGTGAGATGCCATTACAGGCAGACCGTACTTGGTTCTCCTAAGAGCAGGAAGAGGAGCTGTGTTGCTTAAGCAGAAAATATGAATGAAGACAGGTGACAACCTACATCTATTTTCTTCTTCTTCTTTTTTGTTTTTTTTTATACGTTCAGAGGGAGAAACAACACACAAAGATCATGAGGTCACTTGGGGATCACAACCCAGTCACTGCTGCCTTCCTCACTGACTGCTTACCCTAGAGATGCCCCTCTGCACATCTGAGGAGTATCATAATGCTCCTTATGGGAAAATGTATCACACACCCACAGGGATTTCATCACTTCCCTTGGTCTAGTGGTCCTTACACAGAAAAAAGCATTCAGCAATATCTGATGCTTATAAGAAGTTCACTGCTATTTCGTTAGCAGCTGAATCAAATAGTGCCACCACTTAGTTCACTAAAGCAAGCACATCACATACAGTGTGACCTATGGGACATGGACTGAAGGATCCTGCCTCTATGGGAGCCTTCAGCAGCACGTTCTCAGATCAGTCAGCAGATGTAACAGTTTAGAAACAAAACACAATCCCAAACTGCTACAGCAGTGAACAAGCTTGGTTTCGTGCTCTACTGATCTCAGTGATCCAAGTATTCTAGCTTTCTTCTGCTACAAACACTTCACTCATTTCCACACTCTTGCATCCCTCGATCTGCTATTCCAGCCTGCTGGGCTGGACTGTGCCGAAGCAGGAAGCAGAAGCAATGCCAGATAACCAGTCGTTGGTCCAAGGGGCAAGAGAAACATTTATCTTCCCTGAAAATAATTTTTTAAATGCTCAGAAATTACTGAGATGATTTCCACATCTCCCAACTGTATCCCAGGGATTCATTTTTTAATTACTACCAGCTACGCCATGCATGAGTATTTTTCCCCCACCAGTTTTTATTTATTACTATTACTACTGCCTGCTTTCCCTCTTGCTCGAAGCTGCTCTCTGTGAGATCTGACTTGCAGACCTGCCGGTACCACACAAGCTCTGTGTATTTGCCACTGCTGAAATGAGGGCAGAGCAGCCAGCACTGCAAATGGCCGCTGTCAACAGCCATTAGAATTCACCTCAAGGCTCAAAGAGGAAGACTGAACAAAAATGCTTTACCTAAACTGTAACAGACAGGAAGAAAAAGAGACAGGGTGCCAGGGCACAGCACTTTCATCTGTTTCACAAATAAAACGTCAAGAGCATCCCTGTCCTGCACCCTAATCTCACAAAGAAACCTGAAGATTTAGCTATGATTGCTTTCCCAGACAATATTATTGAGCTTTCTTTAAAACCACATGCAAACCTTTGGCCATTTACATTGTGCTGCACACAGGAGGAAAGGCTGGATTCCTTCCGTCTGTCTGTGGAAAGCCTCTCACATCCCTTTAAATTGAAATGCAGTTTCCCTAAGCCTACAAGCCAAGGCTCAACTTACCGTGAATTAACTGTGTGAACAGCTAAAACATTCTGCAGTTTTCTACCTCCTGTAACCCAGAGAGGGGAGCAAAGCAGAATTTCAGGCTGTTCTGCTCAGGCAGATAAGCCTCTGTGCCACACAGCAATGGGAGTCATCATCATCACACATTTAATGGAAGCGTTATTAAGGCCTCAATGCACTGCCCCCCATCTGCTGGCACACAAGCCCTAGATTCCCAAAATCAAAGGTTAAAGGTAAAGCTCCAGTAAAAGATTTCTGCCATCTTATTCAGAAACTGTGCACTGAATTTGGGTTAAACCACATATCTATATTGTGGCGTCTGCTAAGTGGAAATAAAAGAACAAAACTCTTCACAGGGCTATTTTAGCCTGTTACAAATTACACTCAGTTGTAACCTACAAACAAGTGAGGTAGTTCAGGAGAATGTCAGCAGTTTGCACACAGCTATGCAGCCAAAGCACCACCTGCAACGTGTGGGGGAACACAGAGGGAATTTCAAGGACCCAAAACACCAGTCTGTGTTACTCAGTTATGGGAACACTGCACAATTAGATTTCTGTAATCCAGTTGCTTCTGCAATATAAACATCTGACATCTCTAATCAGATTAGATGTGATTAAGACCTTTCCTTCCTAATATTGCTTTTAGCTGCACTTAATTGTAATCCCTTCAAAGTATATGACGCTTCCCTATGGACCAAGGAAGGCATTATTAAAGAAGAGATCTTTGTGTTCAGGATGCATCTTCTGACAACAAGCAAATGAAAAAACACCTCTATGAAAGAAATGTGTCTTTTGAAGTATAAGTTCGTAACTGCAGACAGCAAATAGTGAGAAACAGCGGCTGCTAGCCATAACATTAAGGAAATGGGTCTTACTCTTTGAGCCAGCATACACTGCATTTACACCAGTGTGTACTGAGAGGGCACATGTGGCAGTAAAGAAAACTAAGAGCAAGTTCCTGTCTTTAATACTACACTTACAAAAGCTTGCTGCTTGTGTTTGCTGTGGGTGTAAGCAGCTACTGCAACTAAGCCGAAATTTTCAAATAAGCATGTGCATTACACAGCCTGTTTCTACCCAGCACCACCCAGACACCCTGCACACCCACCCAGTCCCAGCTATAGAAACCTCAGAGCTCTGCAGTCCCATAGGCAGCCCGGAAAAAAAAGCTTCCAGCATGAGATTACACTGAGATTACATCAGCTCTACATGACCTATCTGCTTCACACAGAGGAGAAACGGGTCTGCCTACAGAGCCATCCAGAGCCTGAACCCAGAAATCTATGTTGGTGAACACGCTTTCCAGACAGACCTTGCTTTGAGAGATTTTTCTATTTTATTCATTTTACTTGTTAGGCACAAGATGCCTTCATTTTAAATCCTATTTTTTAAAGGCTGGGAGAGAAAAGTAACTTGCAAATGAGCCTTAACTTAAAATAGAAAAGATTGCCAGACAAAATACAAATGACAGGCTTTACATCTCTGCAGTTATTTTCCCATACCTACTATTTCCTCAAAAATCAGTTAGCTTAGCTCCAACACAGTGTTTGGACAGAACAAAACACAAGATTCACTGTTTTAAAAAGCTGAAATATGCAAAGACAGGCACTTAAAAGTCCTACATCAGAGAAGACAAAGCCTTGAAAATAGCTTTCTTCTTTCTCCTTTCTGAACTATATAGCAGCTATTTAGCTTAATCATTTTTAAAGATGTCCACCATTAACTACTGCAGCATGCTACATAACAGAACTATTGAATGAAATGTAATGTGGTTATTTATATTGCTTTTAAGACCATGATAACTCTCTGAAGGTGGGCCTTTTAGCCTCAGCATGGCAACAGCCTGTCCTCAGTACACAGCGTCTATCAGGCTATTTTGTTAGAAAAGATCAGATATTCCAGGAAACTCAGGGCTGCTAATATACTCCTGCAATAAGCTACAACAAAGGATTTCACTCTTCTCTGAAGAATATTACACGTACAAAAGGAAAGCAATAAACATTTACAGTTGTTACCCCAACGAGCAGGAACAGGACAAGATTACAGGTCGATGGTTGGATCCAGGCCCAGCATTCAGGAGAGGCCAAACAGCAAGGCAAGGACTTGCTTTACCTGTCTGGGCTGAGCAGTTTGTGCCTCTAATATGGGAGAAAAGGTCAAAGAAACCCGCTGGGCTGAGATAAGCTCGTAGTACTGGACTCTGATCACAGGCTTTGAGCCACGCTCCATGACAGCCTGGCCTTCTCTGAGCAGCACAGCCCTGACCCCAGAGCTGGGCTGCAGCCCCAGGGCTAGACAGCCTTTAAGTCACTTGAAAGGCTCAAGGAGTTTTGCTAATCAGCACATTTTATTAGTTAAAAACTCTTTTCACAGCAAACTTACTCAAAAGCTAGAAATGATCCATCTATAAACAGATTTACAGTGTACAGAAGCCACCCCAATCCTTCGGCCATCCTGCCCACAGGGCAAGAGCCTGAGCTCACATTAACACCGTGAGACTTCCAGGGGAGGAACCAAGGCAGCAGTGAAGGACCCTGTGCCAGAACTTTACCTGCTGTTGGGAATTGTAATCAAAGAGCCCCACGGTGGCTGCAGCTGAGTCCACAGGTACCTGGGTGCCAGAATAATCAAACTGCAGAGGCTCCATGCCAACGTGCTCCATGGGATCCAGGGGAACGCTCTGTGACTCTATGTTGGAAAAATCCTCCACGGGCTTGGCACCATTAGTACTCGCCAGCTGGGCTAAGCCCTCAGATCCGTTCTGGTTTGGACCCAGAAGATCTACTTCACTAGCAGAGTTCTGGCAATTACCAGGTGTACGGCTGCACAGAGAGGAAACAGGTCCATCACTAAGCATGTACATTTAATGCTGCCACAAAGCGTCAATTCACAGCAACAAACAGTACCACTCACTAGAGATAATGCAATGACACTATAAAGGTAAAAAAAATAAAATAAAATTCTAGGGAGCTATTCCAGATCCTCCTTTTACAAATTCTACAGAACAACCTGTGTAACTATTAACAAAGCTGTGACACTGCAGCTCACTTGAAAGCTTTTTGAAATAGCTGTTATGGCTTCCTATTTACTCAACATAAGCACTGAACTGAAGTGAGAAATGGTTCATCCCAATTCAAGGGCAAGCAGTAAACATCTCACAGTGTATTTGTTTTCCTTCTACAGTTCTAGGTGTCAACATAAGGCTCAGCAAGCAAACTAGCAAGAAACAGAAAGGAGTTCTCAGATTTTATCAATAGCCCAAATTTCATCACTTGTGAGATGCGAGGAACAAGTGCAAAAACTCAACTGCAGTTTAGCCCAGCCTCTAAGCACGGTCAACACCTACAGCAGGTAATCCCTCACAAAGTAGTTAACAACTGGTGTGAAAATAACATTATGCAGTACAGAATTAGGGGGCTCTGTACAGATTATCAGTTATCACCCACCTTCTCACAAGTGCTTCCCTGTACACATTATAGCATCCTTATGGCGCTGCTTAAGAGAGCCAGAGGTTTTTCCAATTGCTCTCATAGCACAGAAGATCTTGCAAAAAAGTTAAGTCTGATGCTGATTAATTATTATCGTATGGTGCACATACCTGAAGTCTTTGACATCTGTGTCGATTCCATTCTGCACAGGCAAACCATTTGTTTTATCCATCACATCTCCCTCCTCTTTCAGATCTCCTAATTTATCGCCATCAAATGTGCCCTTATTTTTCTTATCCCCTTTGTCATTCTCATCATTCTCTGCATCCCTTGGCCCCTAGGCAAAAGATACATTACTTTAATAAGCTTGAGTTTCAGATCAATTTTGCTTTCATTCCAAGATGTTAACAAATCAAAGAAACATGTCACAATAAATAAGTAATTTTCAAGCATTAGTTCTTACAAATAAAAACATAAAAAGAGCAAAATAGTCAATCATGATCAAAGAAACAAGGGAATTAGTTTTCATTGCATTCCAAAATAGATTACATCTACCTGTTCAGTTTCTCCCATTTAGAAATTCAGAGCCTGACTCTATCACTCTAAAAATCCCAGCCCAAAATTATTTTTAAAGAATATTTACCAAATACCTCTCTTTTAAATTGGACTCAAGGCACCTCAAAATCAATTTGGGAGCGTTAAATACAACAGCAAGTACAAAGGTGCATAAACTGAACTAGTGCCTTTCCAAAAGGAAAATGTTCTGAACTACAAGAGGGGACATGTAGTCAGATATCAGACAGAAATCTTAATCCAGAGGTGGTGCCTAGTTGTGCTGCCCAGAGCTGTGGGTGTCCCATCCCTGGAGGTGCCCAAGGCCATGATGTGGGCACTCAGCCCTCAGCAAGGGGCTCTGAGGTCCCTTCCAACCCAACCATCCTCTGGTTCTATCACTTAACATCTCCGCGTCAGAGATGCAGTAACTGACTGGGCAAGTGCATGTATTCAAACAGAATGGGACCAACACGCAGCTGCCTCGTTTTTCAGGGGCATTACTGCAATTTGCACACTGAATGCCAAGGTGCAACTTATAAGAGCACTCGAATCGATCACTAACTTGATCATACAAACCTAAAGCACTTTCAGAAAAAGACTTTAAGAAGGGGAAAGAAGGATTTCATTTCTGCTGAGCACTTTTGTAAGCTGTATGGTATCCTCAGCATCCCTACCCTTATGTCTGCGTTTCATTTCACTTGGGAGAAGAATGAAGGGTGATTATGCCACTGGCAGTTTTCAACAACAGAAGGGAGAGGAAAAACAACATAATTAATGATAAAAACAGCAAGGGGGCATACAAACATATTTATCATTGATAGCTGTGGTGCTGTCAAAGACACACCTCTGCTGAAGGAAAAGTGCACTGCAAATAGCAGGGCATTTGAACCAAACCATTACTCCATTCCCTCCATTTTAATGGTAGAGAGGGAATTTTTTTCCCCTGGATTTAGAGAAAAAGCAATCATATTCTGATGTTTATTCTTAAATAAAATCTAACTATTCTTACTAATACTTGAGAGCCCGACTGCAAATGTCAATTATATATACAAATTTGGAGCTCTGCTCTCACCTACACAATGTGGTATTTACAGATGAAATCCTTCGTTTCAGAACTGACATCCTGACCACCAGCACTACAGAGCAGATACCTCTCTGACTCCGGATGATAAATTGACTCCTTCCACTGATTGTTCTTTTTTTTCCTACAAAAATCATCTTTCTTAGGCTCAGGGTGCAACAATGTTATCAGGGGCCCACTAATGAGAGGAAAAATAAGAGGATGGATGAAGGAGACCAGGAATGGGCTCCCTGAAGAGATGAGCACAGCAGTCTCCTAACAGTAACAAACCTACTCTACTTTTATGTTTCTCCACACTCACTGATCCTGCACTCAGCTGATGAGGTGGAGCTGAGATGCGGCTTTTTTTCCCCCCACTGTGAGGATGAAGCTTGATTATGCCTCTACTGCCACATGCTTAGATTTGAGGCAGCAGTGACTGCGCTTTCTTCCCCACCCCACCAAGCAACAGTGACTAATGCTATTTCTCCACAGGAAACAATATGCCCTTGAAAGCATTCCCAAACTGGAGTGGCTTATGCTCCTAGCATCGTTACATGGAGCTTTTTGTTCTCAGCCAGCAACAAAGCATCCACACGTTCATCCAAAAACCACACTTGGCTACATGGACATTTGCATACTTTTCAACAAAAATAAGGTTTAAATGGTGCTCCTGCAGGTATGCTTCTCCTCAGAACCAGGGGGTGTCAGCCACCTTCAACTCCTTTACACCCATGTCCTATACTGCATCCCCTCAGTCAACACTGACCTACCCATTTTAACAGAGACAGCTGAACTATAAGAGCAAATAAAAAAAGAAAAAAAAAACATCTGCCTCTAGGAATGGATTAACAAACAAACAAAGCAGCAAATGGAGAAAACAACATAATGGAAACTCAAAATTTCAGAATCAGGCACACTTACAAATCCTCCTTTCCTTAGGCAGGAATCTCCGGGAGATGAGCTCAACACATATTCCACCATGCTAACTCCAAGTCCTCCACTCTCTGACCGTGGTGAAAGCACTGAGTTGACTTCACTATTCACATGAAAGCCCTGACCAGGTCTTCTCTGAACCATAATTGGTTGGGAAACAGAGTGATCTGGAACAAAAACGTGTAATTCTTGTAAGTAGATCCAACTATTTGAAGGAGGCAAGTCATTAAACATGTCCGATGTCTTAATTGTAGTAAGAAGTGCCAGCTTTTTGACTTTGATGCCCACTGGAGAAGGATGGTTTTCTCATTTCTGAAATACTAGGACCTATAAAGCTACAAGTGAGAACTGCATTCAAACTCTAAAATCATAAATTTCAGAAGTTTGTCTCTAAGTAAGGACTGCAATTAAAAAACAAAGTTTATTCACTTTTATTAAAACTGTTGTGTTAGTAAATTGAAAAAAAAACAGTCTTCATTTGAACTATAACTGTTACTTAAAAACATCATCCTACAGTTACACCAGCTTACATTTGATTTCCTGGTCGTATGACTGAACATACTCATATCTCATTATTGCAGTTTCTCCTAGCTGCTATTTCCTCAACAGAAGTTTGAGAACTTCAATTCTTCTTCCCAGCCCTCTGACCCTTGCAGCAGCCCCATCTCTTTATCCCCTCTGTGCTTCAAGGGTTTTAAATCCAACCAGATAGATGTCTCCAAGTTCTAACAAGCTCAGCAGAAACTGCTGGCTGGGCAGGAGGTGACCTTCCATCCCAGTGAGGGAAGGGAAGACGCACTCAGCTTCTACATGTTCAGACTGGTAACAGCCAGCAAGTTAAAAATTACTGGGAGATGGTAGCGTAGCTGCCAGGGGCTGAGGGCAGAGGCATGGAATGACACTGATACTGCAGCTTCCCTGTAAGGCATAAGCCATCAAGAGAAGAAGGTCTATTCCATTCCTGCTCCTAGCTACACTTTCTTGCTTCTGTCCCAAGCACAAGTATCCACCCAGCCACAAAATGAAGTGGACCAAGAATTATCTGGGATAAAACTAACGAAAAAAAGAGAAGATAGTTTTAACCCAGATCAATCTCCCTGCAACTTTCATTGCACTGCTGCGTAACTACTTGTACCTTAAGAAGAAGAAAGCAGCAGCCTTTATCAGATAGGACCATTCCTAGCAGTGCTGGCTTTAAATGCTCTCTAACTACCACAGGCTGTAGGAGTGAAGGACCACAGCCATATGGTGCAGTGCATACTGCGGACACAGAAGGGAAAAGGGATGGAGCAAAAGGTATGTTATGGAAAATCAGGCTTCACCAGTTCCATCACTCATGGAACAAACCTGACTCCTGGCCAAAGACACTTGCACACCCCACCTCCACAGTGCTCTCTGCGAGTGACCTGAACAACTGCTCAGACCATGGCTGCTCTCATTTTTGATGAGAAAGGGAAACTGACTTCCCTGACTCACAGACAGTAGTGCAGGTCACAGCTTGGGAATAAAGGCTGCAAGGTGCACTGGATTAATTGAGAATAAACAAAGGAGGAGATGAGACTACAGGCTTTGACTCATGGAGATCTGCCATCAGCCAGTGTAGGAGGTTGCCTCCCCCACGTCTCCCCTGCTTGTCTGGTGGACACAGCCAGCCCGACAACTGCAGCAGCACAGGAGAAAGTCTCATCCTTAGCTATTGTTGTTCAGAGCCTGGCTCAGCTCTTTAATCCACCCTTAGCACAAGCAGCACAAAGTGCAGCTGCAGATGCACACGCTGCAGGCTGCAGTCAGACAGCTGGAGGCAGCAGCTCCCCGAGATCTCCCCAGAGCTCACAGAGCCTGCAAGGTTCAGCTGGGAAGATTTTGATTTATTTTTGCCAGGCAAACAAAACAAAACAGAAAAACAGCAGTGAAATTGCTCACTCAGAGCTGTACCTCTGCACAGTCGTTTGGATACTGCACAGGGTACCCAGCAATGTTTAAGGAACATAGTACAGACAGAAAGCAGCAAAAGTAAGAAGTTAACATTTCAGATTCAACACATACATATGATTTTTTGCCATTTAACTAAAATAAACCTGAACACTTCCCCCTTAAAAGTTCAAAATATGGGACAGTGTCCGATCCAAGAACAAAATTCTTGGCAGATAAACTTCAACACAACTAATTCAAAACATCTCTTCATTTATTTCAAAATTGATGTTTTTGGGCTTTGGCTTGTTAAGTATTTAAAAATTACTTTTTCTCTCCAACAATGTTGTTCTCTAACGTCTTTGTTCAGTCTTAAAGCAATCCATCCCAAGGCAAAAAACACACCAGAAAATTTTAATTCCAATTCTAACTGCTAGCTAAAATTTTTAAGGAGGTAAATATAAGAGTACAAGCATTCACACATGGCAATCCTTTTATAGCTATGGGTATCTTTCTAACTCTAGCACAAAACAATGTGGGTTTTAAAGGTTTTATTATTATTATTATTATTATTATTATTATTATTATGTAAAACAGATGTTTTGGGGTTTTTTTTAAACATTTTAAAAGCTGCGTCATCCAAACTGGCCAGCAATTTTGAGCAGAGGAATTGCGTGTTTCTGTGTTCAATTCCAACTAAATTAAGTAAATAATTGAGCTACCTGATGTTCCCCAAGCACTGTCTCTCCACTGATCTCCCAGAAATATCCCTTTTGGTCCATCTTTGCTGGAATCATCAGATTCCCAAAACTTTTTACCCGGCAACAGCTGCTGCAATTAAAAAAAAACAACAAAGCATGATTAAAATAAGTATAAAATGCAAACATAAACCATAAGCGTCTCCCTTCTAAACATGAGTCAATCATTAAACACAAACTAATACATGCTTATAATCAAAATATTTATATACTCCTAGGGTGTAAGCCGTACAGCAATGGAGACAATAACTCAATCTCAGCAATCCTCTTACATTCTTAGATGCTTTACAGACACTGCACACGCAAGCACACACATACAATTCACATCGTGCAGCCTCTCTACACAAGAGCAACTGGTAAGAAAAACGTTAGCAGGAACACTGCTATGATGAGAACACTGTCACGACTTCCACCTGAGCTGTGAGGATACCTCCAAAACCACCCAGCATTTCCAGCAGGAGTTCTTGCCTACCCAGGTTCTGGTGCTGGCAGGGACAGAATATAGGAAGAGGTGCCAGGAGCTCTCACTCCTCACTTATTTAATGACTGCTAAGGGCTCTCAGTGCTATGAAGGTTATTGGTAAACAGTAATAAGAGTGAACAGTTCTGGGCCATCGCACCTGCCACGCATGCATTGTTCCTGCAAAATGAGAGGAGAAAGGCAATGCACTTACTGAGGAGAGGACAAAGTCACCACTGACTCGGATGAATCCAGGGAAGATTGTACAGAAGCTCAGAAGGTGGCAAAAAGAACAATGTATATTATTTAGGGGATGCATTTTAAAACAATGTGTGGCATCCAAATACAGCAAAGGGAATTTCAAGCACTCCGTAAGTGCCTTGGATGTCAAGCATACAATCTTCAAATTAAATCCTCAGGCTGAATGAGATGTATATAATTGAGACAGCAAACAACAGCACATTCACAGCAAATTAAAAAAAAAAAAATGAGCCTTGCCTGATGAAGTTGGAATAAAACTCAAGGAACTGGAAGATTAGCAAGTACTCACATCTGTACAGAATTACCATAGCACAAACAAGAGTATTAGATTAGTCAAATGTCTTATATAAATTAGTGTTGATAGCTCTATACTCCACTAGCTTGTGTACAAATTTAAGGCTACAGCCTAACAGACTGTGGGGTGAAGGCAAAGCAACAGCAAACAATTTCAGAGCCTCACAACTTCCAGAGCCCTCTGGTTTAAGGCAGGCAAGGAGAGAAGCAGAGCTCACTCTTTACTTTTCACTTCAGGAAGACCCAGCCAGCATCACAAAGCAGCTCTGTAGGCATGAACTTAACTCTGATGTCCCCAGATTGAGATAACTAGAAAACACCATACTTAAGATAGGTATTATAATGCAAACAACACCCATTCTAAGCGGAACACGAAAAGCAGAACTCCTTACAAATTCTCAGAAAGTCCCACCACACACTAGAGTGCAATTCCACCCAGTTATTGAATGAACACCCAGTGCTGCTGTTGCCTAACAGTGATTTTGTTTTTGCACAGTTATCAGCTGAGATTAAAATCAACATGTGACAAACAAGCACAGGAAAAAAATAGAGTGAGATGTGTTAGGGAGAAGCCTGCGCAGACACAAGATGGAGGACAGAGGTGTGCAGCAGGAGTAGAGCTCAGCACAGAAGCACTACTGCTCCAAGTCCTGTCTCAAGCTGCAGGGTTTTGGGCACATTGCCACACACCTGAGTAGGGTCTGTACAAACTCACAAAGACAATAAACCAACGCATCCCCACCCACACAGCCTACATCACCGATCACTAAAATCCAGGAGGTCACTCTCACATCATAGAATCACCAAGTGTGGAAAAGACCCCTAAGGTCATCCAGTCCAGCCACCCACCACCACTATCTCCCCACTAAACAGACATCCACGTGTACATGAACACAGTGCCTGCAAGTCTCCCTTTAGCACTAGGTTCCAGAATCTGATCCTCAAACACCAAACTTCCACCTCTCCCAGCTCCTCGATCACGGCACACCACCCACACCCCAAAACTCCCTGTGCTGCCGTCTGCCCAAGCAAGACCATTTAATTGCTCATTTTCTCTACAAGGTATCCCATTCTACTTCTAATCTCTTTTTCAGCAGTGAGTCATCTCCACCCAAATCTCTCAAAAAGAGGAAAGGAAAGAAAAAAAAAAAAAAAACACCTAAGAAAGCTTTGTAATCCAAGTGCTAAGCTTCCTCCAGATTTTATTGTCTTCTTTTTACCAAGAAGACAACCCAGTTTGTTATTTTAACTCTCAACCCACTAAGCAGTAACAGCATTTTTCCTGGCTGCTCCTTCCTTGCAACCAGAGGCAGAAACACCACAAGATCAGCAGGTCACTTGCTTTTTAGATACCTGTTGGTGACTTTAGATTTTGTTATTAGCTCACATAAGCTGCTCGTGAGCCTTCTAAGTGATCAATGAAAGCAGTGCAGCTTGCACCATGCTCCCCTTCCTGCAGAGTTCAAACACAAGACATCTGTGAGGACAAGTGACATCCATCAGCAGCTCATTCCCAAACACAACCTGTTCCCCCATCACAAAACTCAGCTCCTCCAATCCTGCTGTCAGCACTCCACCAATAACTGCTCTCCCTCCACCATTTCAGAAAGTTTGGAAGAAAGCAATAGAAACCCATTAAACAATACTTCTCATGTCCTATGAAGAAAGGTTGAGGGAACTGGGCTTGTTTAGCTTGGAGAAAAGAAGGCTCCAGGGAGACCTCATTCTGGCCTTCCAGTACTTGAAGGGAATGGATAAACAGGAGGGGGAACGGCTGTTTGTGAGGGTGGGTAGTGATAGGACAAGGGGGAATGGTTTTAAAGTGAGACAGGGGAGGTTTAGGTTGGATATTAGGGGGAAGTTTTTCAGCCAGAGGGTGGTGAGGCACTGGAACAGGTTGCCCAAGGAGGTTGTGGATGCCCCATCCCTGCAGGCATTCAAGGCCAGGCTGGATGTGGCTCTGGGCAGCCTGGGCTGCTGGTTGGCGACCTGCACAGAGCAGGGGGTTTGGAACTGGATGAGCACTGTGGGCCTTTTCAACCCAGGCCATTCTGTGATTCTATGTCCTTCAACAATACCTCACAGTACATAAAGGGACACAGAGTGTGCAATGGGCAAAGCTCAAACGAAAAGATGAGACAGAGCACAGACTTGCAGAAAGCAGACAGGAAGAGCTGAGCAGAATTAGAGCATTTTTTAGCCAAAGAAAGAACATCATCTGGTTTATGGGAAAACTCAACTCCTGCCATATGTTCCTGAGTTTCCAAAAAGTAAATACATTTTCCTCGTATACTCAAGAAAGCAACAGTAAACTCTATACTTAGAAAATTTATTTCTACTCGAAGATAAAAGGCAACTTTAACGAAAAAAATCACGTGTAAGAGAAAATCCACACCTCTAGACCAGCATAGAAGGGCAATGGGGAACCCCGAACTGCCTGGTCAGAACAAAGCAATATGTAATGTGATTTTAACACAATATTTAATATTAATACAATCCTAAAATCTGAAGCACACCCAATTAAAGGTTTGGTATGAGAAGTCTGCTGCAGGTAGCCAGCTCAGCTCTGCCCCGGTTTAATATTTTGAGGCCTGCATTCCCAGACAGCAGAAAACAACAGCAATGAGATGCTTTTCATCTCACAAAAACTCAAAACTTTCTCACAAAGCACTCTGAAATCTGAATTATATCCAAATCATACCCTGAAGCTGTGGAAAGGGATATTCGTGTGAGCCACTGTGCTCACATATGTACTTCTCACACAGCACTACAAACTACACACAGTTAAGTAAGTAAGAAAAAAGAACCACCTCCCTATGCATCTCTGTTACTGAAGCACAACAAGCTGTTATGAAGTGTCATACGCAGAGCAAGCTTTTATTTACATCTTGGTTGCTCATTTAATAAACATTTCTATTTTCTTGAAAACAAGCTGATTCACTACCACAAAAGACAGCAAGACTGTCCTCTGGCTCGAGGATGACTTCAGAGTCATTTAATCCTCTATTGTTTCACATACCCTCTATCCCTTTCTTCATTTTACCCCTTAACAGTCTGATCCTGAAGAACTGTACCTGAACACCTTATAGTTTTGCTATGAATCACAAATAAGGATTAGAAAAGCATTCTGGTATTTGCTCTCTCACACACGCTGCACTACAACAACAGCATTTCTGTTCCTTGCAGTTTAATCTTTTCCCCCAGAATGTAAAATTTCAGACTGAAAGCTCTCACATTAGTAGAAAAAGAATATTAAAGTTTAATTTCCATATGGATTCAGTGTGTGTTTACAACTGGGAAGGGCAAGTAGCAACCAAAAGACAGTTGCAACAGATGTAAAGAAGGTCCTCGCCCTGTCAGTACTGCTCCATCCCCAATGAGAGGTTTAGCAGTTATCTTCCACTGAAGTACATAACAGCCCACCAAGATGACAAATCTTTCCTTAGGGAAAGTTGCTAGTTGTGATGGAAAAGTTATTCAAGCAAACATAAACCAGTTCTTCAGTGTGAAAATTAAAAAAAAAAAAAAAAAGCAGAGGTTAGGAGACTAGGTCATTTGTTCTGTTTTATTTATTAAAATTGACCTTATCTAGTACAAAAATAATCCCTCTAAGCCCTCTTACAGAGGACTTACTGAGTTAGGCCAATATTCAATTTAGCAGAGGGGAGGAGGGATGACATACACATCAACAAAAGCAATGCTACATCAACAAGTACTGAGCCTGTGTGTATGGGCCCCCTGAGATGGGATTATGAATTAAACAAATTAAGTAAACTGATTCCCTTCAGACAATGCAAATATTAAGATAAAAGAAGCCATCTGTGCCCCACCACAGCAGTTGGAGAACTCTGCTTCTCTGCAGTAACAGGTATGGACAGGCAGAGCACGTATTCACAGGTCCCCTTTGGGCAGCACTGCAAATTTACAAATGCTAAGATGTTATCTACCCTCAAAAATGCTGCCTCCGAAAAGCAAACCGTGTCGAGACTGAGTGCACAAGCAGCAGCCTGAGCTGGATCCCTCTGACAAGCTCCCTGCTGCCAGGATAGCTCGTTACCCCACCCTGAACCGTGGGCAGCTTTGTGCCTTGCTTGCAGGGCTCTGGCAGAAAAAGAGCCAGCACATAAAGAAGAGGCAGGATGACATTACTGGGAACAGTGTGGAAGATTAAAACAACAACCACTCCATCTTGCCATGCTGACAAGCTGTGAAACGCATGGCAGTGAACCCACAGACATGAGCTGCCTCTCTGCAGCCACCAGTGCAGATCCAGCTGCTCCTGGTGAGATGTCGCGCAGCCCCTGCTCCGAGCATCCCCAGCTGCTGGGGCACTGCACACCCACAGTCCTCCCACTTCCAATGCTGCTAGCATCAGATGACTAAAAAACTGTACTGAAAAATTATTCACATCTTTCAGTGATCCACAGTCCAGCAGCCAATGAATCATTAATTTATGAGAAGAAAGCAAAGACATCATTCGTGGTGAAAACAATGTTACGTGGTGGTGTTTCTTTTTGGTTTTAGAGCAGAAGAGATAGAAGAATGCTGAAACCCAGTGTGACAACCACTCCACCTAAGAAAAAGCCCACCTGTATCAGTGATGACATGATCAGGCACATGGAGATCCATGTGCCACTTCAGCCTTAGCTGTGTAGATCTGCTGCAATGAGCCATGGGGCTTGTAGGACTTAGCTGAAGTCAGAGCCAGCCTAGAGTGTGGCACCAAAACCTTGGTGGACTGTAGCCCAGAGCACAGTAATAGAATGCCTGTGATAAACATGGGAAGTATTTCTTACCAGCCTCTCTTTTTAGGAACAGGGGGAAAATTAGCTGTTACTCAGACACTTTCTTCTGAGTTTTTGGTCCAACTCCTGCATTTCTGAAGTTAAAACCCACAGCTACCCAAAGGCTTTGTTCCCATGAGCCACGTTTTGTAGGAGCAGTTTCAGCTGCTCTCTCGCTCCAGCTGCAGCCTTACCTCACAGCATCACCTGCTATCAAATGGGGCATGTTCAGTTCAAAATACATGTGCTGATGAAGAAGACATACCACCTCTTAGTGTCTCTGCACTGTCCACTACACAAAAAAGATGCTGTACGAATATTCAATATTGCTAAGCTCCAGATAAGAGGGATTATAGTGAAGAAAAGCAGGCACCCAGCTCCCCTGTCTTGAGGGCCTGAGAAGAAAAAGAACTTGCACAGCTCACATTAAGCTTCAGATAAGCATCACTGCTGTGTGATCAAAGATTTCAGAAGACAGCATGAGAGGCACGGACACGCGTCCTGGTCTGTGTGCTAAAGCAGCAAAACCAACCAGCTCCATAGGGGCCATTTTTGAACAGACCTTCATTCTGCTTCTTGCTTCACTAACTTCTGTACACCCTCTCTACTACATTCTCTTCTGTAGATGTTGTACAGGAGTTTAAAACAGTTAAATGGAGGAAGGTGCAATTCTGAAGACAGAGACAGCCACAATACAGATGAAAGCTGTGGGTTTTTAAACCACTCTTAATTTCCCCAGATTACACTATCTGTTCATCACAAATCAAAAGTTATCTAGTCTGCTGTTAAAATCCAGATAAATTATTTGACTGCACCCTTTTAAAAAGCTCTGATGTCTTAAGAGACACAAGCTCCTCAAACCACTAAAATTGTGATGATATTGCTTACCAAGAAGCAAGGAAACAGGAAGATAAAAGATAGACTAAATGTTTGTTTATACATTTGGGAAAACAAAGCATTTCTCATCTTTCTCCTCCAGGGTTTTCAATATCATACTTTGGATCTGATATTATCAACTCTCTGCAGCTAAGAATCAGAAGCGTGGATCTCAGTTTACACAGCTCCCGAAATTGGCCAGGTGGATGTATGTTGAAATTCTTCAAGAAATAGAGAGAAAATTCAATGGATGAAGAAAGGAAACCACAGCGACTGACAGAGAAAAACCTACAGGAAATAAGGAATAGCAACTTAGGTTAGACAAATAAAAGGTGAAATGCCATCTCTCCCAGAAGAAACATGCCTGCTCCAGTGTATGGAAAAGCCCAATGACAGAAGGATGCTGTCTCAAAGTCCCAGTGCTATTGTCAGAAGAAAGGAAAGGGGAAAAAAAAAAAAGAAAAAAGTGAGTCATCATTTTTTAGAAGGCTCAGCAAAGAAAATCTCACATCCCAAAGATAAAAAAGAAACACTAACTTCACTTCTCTCAACAAATCACTGAATAAATCAAGAGATGGTAAAAATCAGCAGAATTAAGAACCCCTTCAGGCATTCAAATTGACACGACCTCATGCCACACTTAGCACAGAACAATTTTACTCTTACTCTGACCAGGCATACAGAGAACCTATGCACTCTGTATCTGAAAATGAACATCCTGCCTAAGTGAGGGTGTAATTTTTTATAATATTTACAGAACTTTCACACCCATCATTCCTTCAGCATGTTACATATGGAGGTACATTAGCTGTTTTTCAGCAGCTTTAGATGGATTTATAATGGCATGTTTACTCCTTTCTAAATTATTTTCTTCTACTCTTAGTAATAGTTTCAATGTAGATCCAGAAATACAGAGGTTTTCCCTTCACATACTGTCGACTGAATTGCAATTCAGCATTATTATCATCCAGAGAAGAAAGAACAGAGAGCAGAGAAGCTTGGCTTCTGAACTGCAGGAATTCAGAGGTCTTCCACCTGATACAAGCCACTACACAACAATGCTGGCTTTCTGTTTTCTCCACACCAACCATTTCTGGATTCTAGAGATTGTTTTTTTAATCTAGTTTGTAAACTAGGTTACAGAAATAGGAATCACTGGAGAGGGGAAAAATAAACCAATGTGAATTTCACAGACCAGAATGTAGAAAAGAAGCCTCTCCAAAACAAAAGACCTGCATTATGCTAGAGACAGACCCTCTGTGCATTAATATCCTCCTACAAGACAAGATTTTCTCGTCTCTGTTCTTCCATAAGTCAGAAGGCTTGGCTACAAAGGAAAAGGGAACTAGGTAAGGAGAAGCAGCATTTACATCCAACTTTCAGGAACGTTTAACGGCCATCTAGAAGCAACTCGCTCTTCTTCTATGTTAGCATAAGGAGGCAAGTTCTCTATTCAAAGAAAAAGACATATCTTCCCCAACTCTACTGCCTGCTTACTGCACAGTGAGATTAAGGAAATTTGTGCTGTTGTGCTACGAAGCTGGAAACAGAGCATCCACTATCTGACAGCCCCTCCTCAGTCCTTTCAGCTGTCCAAAGCACTGACCACTTCTGAAACCCTTGATTATGCTACCCAGCCATTCAAACATTAAACACAGCCCTATGCTTTATGACAAGAGCCAGTAGGTGGCCAGGAGCACAAACTGGGCAGCAGACAATGACTGACAGCCAAACCCCACAATATTGTGGGGCCTGAGATCATGGGATCCCAAAATAAACATGCAACAAGTATTGTAACAGTTGTCATAAGACAGATTTCTAACTGTTCTTTTACAACCACCATTTTGCTGTTTGATGATACGACAGGTGGAGGGCTTAGCTGTTCCTCCTACTAAGACACATCCAGCCTGACAGGTTTCTGTTTTGTTAAAGCACACACACACAAACTTCACATCCATAATGGAGAACTTTCAAGTTCGGAATCATACCAGCAGCCTCAAAAGCCTCCTATATATTTACCTCCTCCCCCCAAAATACAGATTTTCTTCTGTAGGCCTTTTACTTACCTCTCCCATAGCCCGTCCTTCCAGAGCAAGCGCTTGAAAATCATGGTTCAGCTCATCCATAGAACGCACCTATTTACAGATGGGTGAGAAAAGCACATGAGGAAATGCTTGTTTTTTTTTTTTTTGTTTGTTTGTTTTTTAATTATTATAGTCTACAGCATTTTCTTCTGACAAACTGTGAACTATAGCCTATATTGCAGTACACAACAAGGCTACTTAGCACCAAGAGATGACTTACCTGTAAGATTCCCAGAAGACACCACTCTTAGCATTAGAGTTATAGATTTATATATGCACAAAAAAATGGCAAAAAGAACAACTATTGTATGACACAAAGTCTAACATAACTACCTTTGCCAAGTTTATTTTAAAGATCAATCTTTCACACTGAGGTGCATGATTTCGGGAAAAGCAGTTAATGCATAAGGAAACAAATCAGGAGCATTTCCTCTCAAGCAAGACCAAATAAAGACTTAGAGCAGCAGACTTACATTCAACCTACAATAATACAAAAAACAGTGCTAGAAACAAAAAGCAAATTAAACGAAATAGAACTGCATAAAACAGGAGGCAGGGGATGAAGAAAGGAGAGCAAAGTCCTGACATCACCTGTCAGGTATTATACCCTTATCAGCACTTCAAGCAGGAAGCCCAGGGCTGCAGAAGGCCCGAGGACAACTCCTCATCGGGCCTCCTCTTTCCCAGGGGGTCAGCAGTGCGTGTAGCAGCCCCACAGCACCCAGGACTTGCAAGCTGAGGCAAGGTGGGCAAGCATAGGTGAGAGCAAGGGGCTCCTTCCCCACGTCTGCAGGCACTGTGCTGCTGGGCACGCTGGCCTCCTGCTCACTGCAAGGCCTACAGCCACACTACAGTAGTTATGTAACTTCTCTGCTGCTGCTCTGGATAATGATTAGATAAAAACGGCTTCAATTAGAACAGCAGAAAGCAGCAGTTTAGAACTGTTAGCTAAATCAATCAGTAATTGAAAATACAAGAAAACACGGTTTTTGTTTTGTTTTTTTCCTAATTTGCATCCCCAAATCTCATCCAGGCAAACTCCTGCAGTTGTAGCCATTGAGCATACGTGCAGAAGCAGGAGATAAAAACTATGCCATGGACTTGAGGATGAAGTCATGGATGTGACTTGGATGTGCCAAGATTCACGTTCATTTGCTGCCCTTCCCAGGTAACACACCTGAATCAGTGCAGCCCTCATTACAACAGCCACAAGCACTTTGGATGGCACACAAGCAACACTATACACCTCCTACTGTGTGTTTACCTAACCCTCAACCTCACAGATCTGATACAGGTTTCTGCTGAAGCAGTGGTAATAGTTTATACAACATTTATTTATGAGTAATCCACACACTGTCACTGCAGCTCTTATAGGAGCTTTTCAGGACACTGAAGACACACTGTTTAGCCATCTCACCACTTAAGACTTGTAGGCACCTCTAGGTGAAAGGAATGAAGTCAGTTATAACATCTGGTGGGTGACATAGCAAGAGGGAAAAAAAATCTGGCTTAGACACTCACACAACATCAGTGCTGCAAGCAGTCACACCATGCTCACTGATCTGAAGCCTGACTCTGGCTTCTGGTATTCCTACCACTATTTCCAGCCCAATGGAGTCAAGACTTTGCTATGAGTATGCTTTGTTTCTATTTTAAGACAAGATTCAGTAGACCTCATCCAAGAATATCAGATACAAGGAAAGTGAAGTCCTCTCCAGTGCGAGTTCTGCTACTATTCTGTGACAATACTGCTTTGTAAAAGATTAACAGCATGTTGATAAATTGTACATTTCTGTAACTGGCAAATCCTCAATGCCCAGTCATGCAGAGTGAGTTTATTATCATCTCCTAGTTCAAAAGTATTTTCAGTTTTGCTTCAGCATTGCCACCTCTTGCTGTGACCCTCACACAGCTACAAATCCATCCAGAAACAACAGGACTCCACCTTCCAAAAACCACAGCACCAGTTAACGACCAAGGCTTTGCTTTACTGCCAACTCCATTGCTGATCCACCAGCTAACACATCTCGGCTGCCTCATGTAAGAAAAAACTGCAGAGCAGTTCCAGCTGAACTCATGGGAAATGTGACAACCCCCAGACATGCCATGCCACAAACGCTGAACAGTAGCAGTCTGTTATTTCAGTGAGATATGTGAGGAGTAGAGAGGCTAAACAAAGGTTCAGGAGGTGATGTTCGTTACTCTCAGTGCTAAAGCAATGACCCAGCAAACCACAGATGCAGCCACAGTGGCACAGCTCCAGGATTTGCAGCACAGTGGAAAGTGCTAATGCAAAAACATAGGCTGCTTCGTGACGCTCCCTCCCAGCTTCACCAAAACAAACTCCCACAGGTGGATGTCATGCTATGGGAACCTAAAAACAAAGCTGCAACAAAGATACCATCATTACATTCCTAGCAGAAATCAGAAGAACTTTAAGAGATGTGTCTACTTTGCTCTGATCACATCCCAGCCCCAGCAATAGCACAAACATTCCCGATGAGAACTCCAGGCAGAACATGCAGCTAATTGCTGAACAATAACTCCATTTCTTTTCTCAGTGCCTCTACTCTCCTTTACGATGCTCTGGAATGTTACAAGGTCCACTGTACTCTATCATAAACATAATTTAAGAAGAATGCTAGAATCTGTATTTTTATTAGATCACATCATATGCAAGAATGTTTTTAGACATTTCTTGTTCAAGTATTTTCCTTGAGCAGCACACATACGTGACTTCCATCCATGTGTGCAGCCACACTCCACCCATACCTGAGTTCTCAGTAGAGAAGCCAGAGCTGCTGTAATATTAACAACACCAACACCTCCAGCACGCTCAAAGCCTTCAATGCAAGTTCATGATCTCTCACCAAACTCACAATACTACAGCAATCCTAATGATTATGGATTAAAATCTTTTCTAAATCAGTTCCCTACGCCCAACTCATGGGTACTGGATGCCCAAGCTGCATATAAGTGCCAATATGAGATCCCCTTCTCAGCCACGTCATTCCTTTGCCTTCACTGAGCATCTTACTGATTTGTCTGTAATATAAATTTGCTTATTATTCTATTTCCTAAGGCCATACCCAAATATCCTCTTCTCATTTTTCCATTTTATAACATCAAGTAGCAACATCTCTTCATTTTCTTACATGAGGTGAACATGACATCAGAGGGTTCCTTTACTTCCATTCAAACATGGATAGATACCTTCTCAAACAGCAGAACTTCCAACCAAAGCCATGACTGCTTACACCTTTGTGTTCCAAAAGACAGGCTATACCCTGAAGTGGTAAACGTGATATAAATGGCCTCATGCCTCACTGGGATCAATCCCTGTTAGCTCTCACTGCCCTACACCAAGCACAGACATGGAAGGCAGCACCACGACGGTGCAGGCACTGGAAACAAGGAGGTCCACTGAGAAAGAACTTATGCACAGATCAGCATCCATGTGTACAAGATTTGATTACCATAAGATGTACTTCCCTGCTCAACTCTGGTTTTGAAAGAAACCCAGAAGACACTGCCAAAATAAAGTGGCTGCACAAGGAAGCAGCCCCTGCTATCACTACATGGCACGATAAGCTGGTTCCTTGGAAGAAGAGGCAATCTTGAGAAACACCAGGAATCACAGCAAGAGAAGTCAGCTGTCTGTAATCACAACTGCCTCAGAAGCCAGCCAACAAAACAGGCTTCTTGAAAAGCCCTCAGCTGCAGCCCTCAGCCTCTTCCAGGCACTCCAACCCATAGAGCACAACACAGCACTTCACCACTTGCACAGAACAGAACTCTCGACCCTTTTGTGAAGAGGGCTCAGGGCTCACTGTCTGGCAACGCAGAAAACCAGCAAGCCTTCTTTTGAAGCCTGCTTAACAACATGAAGGCCTTCGAGCTGTCTTTTGGAAACGCTGTTTCTGAATGAGTTACAAAGCAATCCCATTGCACAGGAGTGTGCTCACCTTCACGCCGTGCTGCGTACACGCTCGGGGATCATGTAAATCTCACCAAACTTAATGAGCATCTCATTCAAGTCAAGTCATTTCTGTGCACATTAATATAAGAATGTGTGTCACTGGAGCACACTGCAGCTCAGAGCCACTCTGTTGGTGCATGTTTTAGTGCTGTGTCTGCCTGCAAGCTGTGCCCATGGGCTGCAGCAAAGCCCAGGGCTGCTCTGTTCCACTCTCTCTGAAGCCCTTTAACCAATTTTCACCTTTGCTCTGAAAAACACACTATAAAGAGACAGCTGTATTACACAGTACTCACTCTAGATCAGACCTCCAATTCTCATTTGCAGTTTCATGAATTAAAAACAACTAACAAAAAAAAACACAACATCACCAGGGCTACTCTGAAGCCAAGAGGAACTCAAGCCCTTTTGAGTTTCAATAGCTCTGATTCCCACTGCCTGTTTTAGAGAGGACAAGGCAAAACAGAACACTTTCTACTCCTACCTACTGTGGATTTCAACAGCACAAACCAATTTATCTCTGGGTCAATGGTCACTTCCCAAACTCAGCCTCCCACGCAGCAGTAGAGCTTGCTGGCAACTGTGCATCCGACACATCACTGCAGATTTCCAGCCCCTCAAACAGCAGGCAGCTGATGCATGTTAGGTAGTCAGTGCATGCAGGACAACTACTACTTTTTCTCTAAATTAGATTAAGTTTTGCAGTGATGAAGCCCTGTAAGTGACAACAACTCAGAAGCAAACATTTCCCACCCTCAAAGCTACAGACACTTGTCCTGCCACACCTGGAGTGCTTCTCAACTACATCAATGTGGCAGAGATTGAGGCAGCAACATTCCAAGAGCTAGAGGCAATTTGTGCCACACTACAAACCCAAGCAAAGCACTTTGAAGCCCCTCAGAAACAAACTGTTAGAGGTACAGCTTCTTAGAAAAAAAAAGCAGTGCTAAAAAACGAGAACCCTAGAAACAGAGGGAAAGCTGGGGAAGCATCAGCTGCACACCAACAGACCATAGAAAGACAGCCATAAACACACCTGAAACCCAAGCAACTGATGGGGCACGCTGCACTGCTG